CCTAAGCATACATGACCGATTATGGATGTTTTTAATTGCCATTCCGATTTTTCCCGTATGGTTGCTTGATTACTGGAGTGGGAAGGTATTTGTTGCTTACTTGTCTCAGAACCAGAGTACCATATGTGACGAGAGCAATATCGCCACATTGCATTGGAGAAGCCTGGTTGCTCGCCTGCTGCCTTTGGACTATGGCCCCATGTTAAAAGACATCTTTTTCCCTGCAGAAAAGACTTCTTCATGCTTTTCTGCCTGGTGTTCAGTAGATTCAATCTACCGAACAACTGCATGAATGACTAGACCACCTGGGAGCTGGAGTGTGCCGGCAATTAGCCTCCCTGAAGCTGCGGTTAACCGCAGCTTAATAGACGAATGCTGGGTGGCCGCCATTCGTATCACGAACACGAGGTCGCGGCCATTTTAAAGCCGCGAACGCACAGCGGTGTTCTACGCTCAATTCATGGATCTAAAATCAGACACAGTTTTGCGCGAACACCACTGAAGCCGCCGACCTCCCTTCTTGTTCGGTGAAAGTGCACGAACGGCCCGGTGTTCGGTAGTTTTACTTGAATATGTTATACCCCAGATAGGAATCCCATGGAGCCCATTCGCATGAGAACGGACTGTGTAAAGACTTTGGCTCCATGGCGATTAAACTGTATTCGTGTGGTCTGAGCGCCATTCGCTTAATAATGGGAGCTCAGACCTGAACTATCTGGGGATATGTTAAAAGTATAGTTTCAGTGTAACTTGTGTCATACTGTGTATTTTAATAGTAATTCCTGTTTTAGTATCCCCACGTGCATAATGGCGATTTGCCTTTGTCTTGGGAGATAATTGAATTACTTCTCAATTATCTCCAAGGCAGAAGGGAGTAAGCCAGGATGCATTGTGGGAATATAATGTGACTGTGTGTCCTATTTGTCTACTTGTCTGTCTTTTGTCACAGTCTCCCATTTGGTCCCCTAGGGGAGTGTCCACCAGGTGGGAGACCTGCATAAATACTGGGTAGGTAGCCCTCATTAAACAGACCACTGCTTGACCCTCAACACGGAGCCTTGTCTCGTCCATGGGGGGAATTACTGAATGCTGTTAGAGACTGATTGCTAGGAGTGTAAGCCGCTTGGATGCTTTTCCTATTCGTCTCTAGCAGTGATTCGTATGGTTCCAGTTCGTGTGTTTGGAGTGCTATATTGTATGCCGTTCAGGAGTTTGGAACATTCCCTTATTGGCGGTTCGTGAGTTTGGTGTTCTACAGTAGCTGGGCCTGCATCTCTGGAAAGGGGGACGATCGCCTAAACGGTTTTTACCCCTTGTGTGCAAAACGGTCCGTTACACCATACTTCTCTGGCTTCCCATGGCCATTGGTCTCCCATATTGTACCTCCACATACAAAGCAGTTAGTTATATTAAGACTACTTGCAATAATCTCAGCCAGATCGATGAACAAGTTTTTTACAGTGTAGGTATCTTCATCTTCAACACTCATCTCCTCATAAAAGGAATGGAATACCTGATGAATTTGGGCAATCAGGGTCTCTGTTTAGGCCTATGTATAGGATGACTCCTGGGTCTGTCCCTGTACCATATAATTGGAAACTGAAAAGATTCCCAAACTTTTTAATACATTGCTTGGGGTTAGAAATCATCATATGTACAGGGTTAAACTCCATGGATTTACGAGGGGTAGTAGGTAACCTCTGAATTATCAGGTCTTGGTCTACTGGTTTTCCCCAGGTCGCCCAACCTACACATGACATGGGCAAAAGTTTAAGTCCTTATTTGAACAATCAGGGTCAGTAGTTCTTCTACTAGGGCATAAGTATATTTATCATAGGTTTGTTCCCACTTAAGATTACCACATATGTTCCAAGGTTTCCCACTACGAGAAATTGATTTTCATGCATTGAATAATAGGATGCCTAGGGAAGAGGTGGTACTTAACAAAGTTTTATTTATCAATGCCCCCGGAGAGTAGGCATTTCGAAGAACCAGCCAGATTGTACGGGGTTGGAATTGGGGATCAAGGCACTTGGGATCACCTGAAACTGACTGACACACACTATAATCAGTGTCTAAGTATCTGCATTTAGACATCACCTTTGCATTCCGTATATATAGTAAAAACACTAAAACACACAAAGGAATACAATAGCAGAGTGCTAGTTCAACATAGACTTTTCTCCGCTGGTATTCCAATAGTTACTCAGGATCAAGTAGGTTATCATAGGAAGAACAGCATAAGCAGTAAATAAAGTAATCCACGAATATCCCATCACCTTTCCCAATAACTGGAAGACACTCAGTATCAGGAGCAGAACTGATTTTTAATGACACACACTCTGCTTTTATGCAATCCTCCCATGCAAGGGAGACACCCACAGAAAATTAGGAATTACCCAATCACTAGCTGGTTACAGTACACAGGTTTCCTCCCCTTAGCCTGAGAGGTAACTTAATTATCTATACAGTTTCAGCACACAATTTCCCCCAATTCCTGGATGTACCACAAGACTATAACTTACACCCATAAATTACATATCCCCTGATAGCTCCGATCTGGGTGAGCAACATACTGAAAAATCACCCAGATCGGTTCAGGGGTTCGTGAATTTCCTGGAGGTCTTCTTTTCACCAACCGCACATGAGGTGTTACCCGAAGAGAGTACCATGTGTTTTGGCCTTACGGTCGGTCTCCGTTCATGAGGTGAAAAGCCCGAAATTGTTTAATATACTGGGCTCTTCCTGGGTTCATATTATTCCCCTCGTTCGCATGATTCCTTTCACCGAACGCCATTCCATTCGTATAGTTCCCCACGAACGGGTGGAAGTATGGAGGTCTCTGCGGTGTTCGCGTGGTCGAGTTTCCGATTTGGGTTCTAGACTCTCAACGACCAAACACCCCTGGTGTGTTCGTATGGAAAGATGGCCGAACGGCGGCCACCCAGGGAATAAACAGTGCGTTCGTATAATAGTCAATTGAGGTAATGTAAAGAATGATAGGGGAGGTCAATTAATGCTACGCTCCGCTCCGGGGTGGCCTGGTTGTTCGGTATTTTGTTCATTTGTCGAAAATCAACCCCTTTCCTTAGTATACTTTTGGGTGCTACTGGTACAGAGCTACTAGTTACACTTTCCCCTTCATTGTCTGTTGACTCATATTCTGATGTACTAAAATGGTCAGAGTCAATTCTAATTCTCCTTTTCGTCTGACGATAGACTTTACCTGTCTCAAAATCTGAGGTATCTCTTACAAATTTATGATGTTTTTTAATTTTTATTTGATAAAAATTCCATCTGGGGCTCTCTGCAGTATAAGGCTAAATAGGGCCTTGGGATGAGGCACCTGTGACAGGGAGGGGTGCAAAACCAAGGAGTTGGCTAGACTCCCAAATATATAAATATAAATACAAAACACAAGATCCAGCGCACTCACCTATCCACTAAACGAATAAAATCTTTCAACATTGAAGTTGCCGTTTAGTGGATAGGTGAGTGCGCTGGATCTTGTGTTTTGTATTATTTGGCCCCCAGTAGCACCCCCATTTATGCATGTTCAGGTGAGTGCAGCCAACCCCCCCTTGTTTCATATTTATATATTTGGGAGTCTAGCCAACTCCTTGGTTTTGCACCCCTCCCTGTCACAGGTGCCTCATCCCAGGGCCCTATTTAGCCTTGTACTGCAGAGAGCCCCAGATGGAATTTTTTTCCTCAAGTAAGTGGTTAATCTCATAAGAGCAGACAGTTGGCTGTTAGTGTAGGACCTGCCAAAGATGGGGTACATTGACGTTGTGGCAGGCTTATGCAATGTATGATCATATAATGTAACTAAACCCCCATTATTTTTGCCTAGATTAGGTTTTTTTTAAAAAACCGAATAAAATCTTTCAACATTGAAGTTGCCGTTTAGTGGATAGGTGAGTGCGCTGGATCTTGTGTTTTGTATTATTTGGCCCCCAGCAGCACCCCCATTTATGCATGTTTAGGTGAGTGCAGCCAACCCCCCCTTGTTTCATATTTATATATATATATATATATATATATATATATCCCTAACTGTCAAGGGTTAAACTAAACTAAACAAGTTTCACTGACTTTGCAGGATATCAGTCTGTTACACTCCAAATCTCACTTGCAGCTTAGCCTGCTGATTTTAACTCTCACAAGATAACCCAAAAGTCTCTTATCTGCCGGGCAAGGAGGGATTTATTTGCTCAACTGCTGCTAATTACTTTCAGTTGAGCAATGGGTTGGAGTCAGTCTTAACTCCTGGCCTGGACCTTTATTTCACACAGTTACCTGTAACCTGACGAGTGGAGCACCTGCCACCCTACTCTCCAAATGCACAGCCCCAGGGGCCCATATCTAAACATTAATTTATGTTGTGATGGGATTTCAGCTACGCCCAAAATTTAGTAGGCCTAAAATCTCCATGTGGCATATACAAGTACAGGTATCTGTTAGTTACGTGTAGCTAAGATATTGTCATCAATGTACTGAGCATGTGCTGGATTTGAAAAACCACATTCCATTCTCCTCAAGTGCCATACTGCCTATCCATATAAGGTAATGCTGTAAATACTGTTTGCTGATTGGTGTAAGGGTAAAAATGGGGGATGTATAGGATTTAGTTTGAAGGGATTTTGTTTGTTTTTGTTTCTGATTCTGTTTCTGGAAGTGAAATACACAATACAGTGATTGAATTCTGTTACTCCTACAGGAAATACAATTCTATATAGGAGACATAAATTGGGATACTCGCATAGTGTAATACTATTATAAAGCATATAATCTGTAGCAAGAGCCACTCAGAACTACTCACATTTAACAGAGCCACTTATAGCAGGTGCCAGCTGTGTAGGCATATAGATAAAATGTGTCCACCATGAACAGCTATCAAGCAGACCCAGGTAAGGAATCTCCAGGATGCAGCAGTTGAATAAACAGGACATTATTTTAAAAGAAGGAAAAATAAAACACAACACGTTTCGATGTAGATCGTCTTTCTCAAGTGTATAAATAGTCAAATACATGTTATCACATTTATATCATACAACAGGAAATTGTAATTGGCGCCAATCTCCGGTGTCTAAACAGCATGCCGCAGTTCCGGAAATTAAGACGTTCGTTCTTGTTTTCCAAATTTCACTTCCGGTTGGACGTTCTTGCGTTCCAAATCTCACTTCTGGTCGGGCGTACTCCCGGTGTTGCGCACTTTTCGTATTGGTTGTCATAACGATATTCGCTAGTCAGTCCATGTATATAAACAAAATCCCATGTTATGTGCTTTCCAATTGAACGCAGAACCATCATAAAAGTAATACAAAAAACTAAAATATTAATTAACTTAATGTTTAAAACTAATTAAATAGTATGTATGTACTTGAACTCAGCTATAAACATAGGAAGAAAGATATCTTAAATGAAGTAAAAACTTGGTTTATTAATAAAAAATTAAATATATTAATAAAAATTTGAATTTAAATTGATCTATATAAAAAACCGATATACATAAAAAAAAATATTCAAAAAAAAAAAAAGACCATAAAAAAATATGGAAAGATGAGATGGAAAAAAGTGAATAATTATAAATATATTAAATTAATGTGATGGATTCCCAATCTATGTTAGGACCATTGAGGGCCATAGTATCCAAGTTAAAAATCAATTTCATTTAATTTTTGTTAAGATTAGATGGGATACTGTTACCTCTCCAATGGCCTAAAATATGTTGGACTCCAAAAAATAAAAGAAAGTCAGTTTTTTTATCGTGATTCTATAAACAATGTAGGGATACGCTATGATTAGCATATCCTCTTTTGATATTATATATTTGTTCTCATTTCCTAATCTTAAGGGGCCTAGATGTTTTCCCCACATATTGGAGACCACATGGGCATACGAGAACATATACTACATTTTTCATATTGCAGGTAATAAATGAATTGATAAAAAAAACTTCTTTGTAGTACTATAAGAATAAAACCTATCCATCTTTCTTTCTTTGTTCTTTTTAACTTTGCACCCCATACAATCACCATAGTAAAAAAACAAAAACCTTTTTATGTACTATTAGCTTTAGATAAAAAAAAAAAATCACTCTTTTTTTCTTTTTCTAGAAAACTCATAGTGAGGATTTGTTTTAGATTTTGGGCACCTCTAAATATAACTTTTGGTTTTGTGCCGAGATAAATTCTTAAATCACTATCCTGTTGTAAAATATGCCAGTGTTTATCGAAAATGTTTCTTAGATCTCTTGCGTTAGTATTGAAATCTAAGATCATAGGAACTTCTTAGTTCTGTGTTAGTTCTGGTTTGGTCTTATAATTAAGAAGTGCAGATCTCTAGCAATTTCTAATTTTGGCCAGGAAAAGAAGGGGTGGGAGAATCAGGAAGAAGTCTGTGGGCTGAGAAAATAGGGCATGAACCCTGGAGTAAGTAACTTGAAAAGAAGGAGAAACAAAGTTTCTGGCCCGTATACTTAGATAAAGTTTAACTTTTATTATAGCAGTAAATAAAATTGGTTATAATATTGCCAGCAGGTGGCAGTATAACCACACTAGAAAAAATAATAAAGAGGCTAACTAAATTGATGAGTGATTAATCACACAGTATATACAGGGTTAAACAAAAAGAAAAGTGAAATATACATATGTACAGATGATAGCACTGGAGCTGAGTAGCAATGGTATAAATCAGAAGAGTCACTAAAGAAATATATTGTATCAAATTGTCTTGGTTGCTATGGATGTCAAGGGAAACCCTCGGCTAAACCGTGCTCAAGCTTGGAATATGGCTACTAGAAATATGTACAGGAGAGTCCTCACAAGGGCTAAGTATTGATAGATCAATAAAGCACCAACGTATTCTGGTGAGGCAGGTGAGCGAGAGTGGTAAGGAGTCGGCAAACCAATAAGCCAACAGTATGAACTGCGATTTCTATGGCTCCTGTTGGGAGTCTATAGAGGTTGAAATTGCTATCTCTTATAGGTATCCTGGGTCACTAGTGTCCTGCCTGAGTATAGGTTGATACTGCTGTAAATGTTTAGCTGATCTGTGCCTTCAGGGGCACATGTGTTTGCCTAAGGCAAACAGAATCTAGCTGTAACTATTGAGCAGTATGGAGGTGGTTTAAAAAGGGGTGAATAAAGCTGCTGAGTATTTAGCTGTAAAGTATAGAGTGATACTATTGTTTAGCTGATCTGTGCCTTCACCAAGGTTAAGCATTGTGTAGCTGTCACAGTTACACATTATGTACGTGCTATGAGAGGAAGAACATAGCAGCTTTGTATTAGAGCAGTTCTATGCCTTCAAGAGCACATATAGTAGTAGGAGTTAACTGAGTTTCACTGCTAGCGCTAAAAAATACTAGTCTATAATTTAGCATAGCTGGTGGCGAACCTGGTCCCCATTGCTGTGCCTCTGCATTGGATATAATAGTCACCCTCAAACCAAAAAATCTTGTCAAAAAGTATCATTTTGATGCCTTCAAGGATATAGTGTCCTTTAAATATCTTAAATAATGGAATAATGTCTATTCCCGTTTACGTGGCTCCATTTTATCTGTTGCAGTGATGTCTGTCATCCAGCAGCCAATAGCTACCTCAGGCCAGAGTTAGCCTGGGTATTTGTGGAAGTGGTAGAATTATGGCTGAATGCAGCAACATGTTTAATTGTTCTTATTTCTCTGTATGTTAGTAGAAATTGTATTTTTGTTATTACACTCACTCTTCTTAGACTCGTTCTGGCTTGTATATATTTTCACGGTATTTGTCTCATTTTCTTGTTTATCTCTAATAAACTGACTTTGTTAAAGTAAAAAAAAAATAAAAAAATATGAAGAGCATTTCTTGACTAAATCCTGTAACTGGATATCGATATATTTGATTGGGGCGAAAATAGCGGCTGTACACCGGAGACTATAGGTCTCCCCGGTGGGTGCATAGGAGCTTTATGAATTTTTGGCGATGTGTATAACACTGGTTTTCTTGGGGAGTCCAGAATGAGAAATTGATATTCTTAGAAGGATTAACAGCTAGGTTTGTGTCTTTCTCATCCAATTGACGGTATATATCATTTATGTAACAAATTTATTTTTATAATCCCAACCCCTCCACCCTTGTTGGCTGGTTTAATTATAATGTTTATATCTTTTAGGGCCATATTTTCTCTATGTGTTAAGATTTCCTTTATCTTGGGTTGGGTCTTTGATCTTTCTTATATCCCCTACGCAGGCTCTTTGGAAGACTGTCATACTGTCTGTTTTTAAGTAGATTGGATAAAATGTAAAAAATGTTTTATGGAAGTATGCTTAAAATCTCCTTTAACATGACATATTGTTTGTTTGTTAAAATCATTATTCATAAAAAACTTTTTCAGTTTCTATATAGGTATTGAATTTATTTACTGGGCAACTGGGTGCAAATATAAAACCTTTTGATAAAACTTTCTCATGGCCTTTATTTAAAATATTGTCAGGTTAAAAAATTCTTATTTTCTCATTAATTTCTGTTTTTGTGACCGCCAACCTCTTTCCTCCTCTATTTCCCCTTATTCCGGTACTCCTTTAGCTACAGATTATATGCTTTGTAATAGTATTACACTATGCAAGTAGTAATCCCTAGGCTGTAATATAAACACTGCATTTTCTTCTGGAAAAAAGTGTTTACTGCAAAAAGGCTGAAGGGACTAATTATACTCACCAAAATAAATACAAGTTGTAGTTGTTCTGGTGACTATAGTGTCCCTTTAAGTGGCAAGCTCCCTTGTATTAATGCAAAATCTGATGTAATGAAATGCTGTATATGAAGCAGGAGTCTAACTCAATGTGGATATAAAAGATTTAGGTATTATAGGATTTCTATACTAAACAGTGAATACATAAACAAGACTATTCATTTTACTAGTTAAGTGAAAAAGCGGCTCTGTTTAAAGCCATTTTAGCTCCACAAGTATTTCATTTATTTTGACATTTTACTTTTTTTTTTATTTGAGAGCACAGTTTGCAAAAGCTGTAGAAGAAATTTTAGAAAACAGAAAACTATAACTTGTAAAATATCGGTGCATATGAAAACCTGCTTTTATAGGAAAAATTAAAACCCTTTCAAGAACAGGGGTGGATTTTATTGAAAAAGAAGCTTGCTGCCCCTAGAGGTGATCACCCACAGCATGGTCAGTCTCAATCATCATGTTAGTCACTGTGAGTTAATATGATGTTAAATGAGGCACAGGGTGCACCTCAGGGATGTGGTTCCTGATAAGTTGGTCTACAGATATGGTAGGTAGAGTGGCAGAGGCTTGGATAGGTTGTAACATCCTTTCTTCTTCTCTCAACAGCTGCTCCCTCAGCTTCAAGCTGTGGAAAGAACCTCGCTCTGTGCTGTTGCTCTCTCGTAGGATCACCCCGTGGGACAGCTGCATGGTGTCCAGAGGGATCCCATCTGAGAGTGGGATTGGGGTTCTAGTACTCTCAGCTAGTGTGCTGCTGGAAAAGGTGTACGGTTTGGACAGCCACTCTTTAAGCTTCTCAGAATTTGAGGAAGAAGGAATGTGCTGGAAGGCCCCCAAAGACAGGTCAAGGTCTTTTTCTATAGTTCTCCTGCTCCCTTTTAGATGCTTGCTGGTTGATGGTCCAGATTTAACTAAGGGTTTTCTTCCTTTTTCATCAGACTCCTTTGTTGGGCCCATCATTATAACCTGAGGGTGTACATGGTGCTTTGGAAGTCTGGCTGGGTCAAGCTTTGGCACAGAAAGGACATTGCCTGCCTCATCATACATCACATCCTTTTTCTGCGGAGGTCTTCCCAGCTGAATCTTCAGTATGTTGTAGAGGGCGGGTGGCAGTAGGATGTTTTTATCAGCCTTTTTTTCTTGTTTTATTTCAAGTAGCTGCTTCAGGAACATTTCTTTCTCTGTCTCCTCAAGAGATTTAGTGATATCCTTCAAACCAGCTGAACGTAGTGGCCCACGATGTGGACGGTATGGCCTTTTTATTTTCTGGCACTGTGGCGGAGGAGGAACAGGTTGGAAAACTGTTAAAGATCTTTGGGTTGTCGTTGTTTGTTTGGGGGTCTCTTCAGTTTCCTCTTCTTCTTTCTTAGTTTGGTCCTCAGTAGACGGTACTCTTGACACTTGGGCATGTGTAAAATCTTGGGGGCAGGATTCCACTGTGAATTCCTCTGTGATCTCAACAAGAGACTCCAAGGAAACCTGGGTAAGACAAGAGCAACATCAGTACAAAAAGAGCAGTTAGACACTCATCAATTGACATCAGTAGAATGAGAGCAGTTATAGACATTCATTGAATGACAGCACTGAAAATGGGAGCAGTTATAGGCACTAAACTGGACCAAACCACTGTATAGAGTGCTAAACTTTACCATTCTAATGCGTATAATGCTAAACAGGGTATTCAAACAAGAAGTGCAGCACAGTTTTCTACTTATGGGGCAGTGTAGGTGCAGTCCGGTCACAGTCCCCATGAGGACACCTGTTTACTGCCAAAAGCACCTTCAATGAGGAACTGAGTATCAGATTTGGACCATGGAGCAATGCAAGAAGGTTGCCTGGTCATGTGGATGTTACTTTGACAAATACCACCTGTGGCAGACCTCTCTGCCTCTGGATTGTTATTTTAGACTATTTTGTCTGTTTGTTTGCCAGTCTCTGGTTGTTTGTGTGTTTCCTGATTATATTCCTTAAAAGACGAATGAACTACCGAATGTGTGTGTGTGACTGTCTGATTGTGTGTGTGTGTGACTGTCTGTGATTGTGTTGTGTGTATGTGTGACTGTCTGCCTGTGATTGTGTGTGACTGCCTGTGATTGTCTGTGTGACTCTGTGTGTGTGACTGTCTGCCTGTGATTGTGGGTGTGTGTGTGAGAGACTGTCTGTGACTGTCTGCGATTGTGTTGTGTGAATGTGTGACTGTCTGCCTGTGATTGTGGGTGTGACTGTCTGTGAATCTGTGTGTGTATGTGTGACTGTCTGCCTGTGTGATTGCCTGCGTGTTTGACTGTCTGCCTGTAACTGTGTGTGAGTGACTGTGTGTGGGACTGTGTGCATCTGACTGTGTCTGATGGTCTTCGCCCTGCAGTGAGCCGGCAGCCAGGATATGATGTCATCGTGGCCTCAGCGTCATTACGGGGCGTGCGATGGACCTGTGCAGGAAGAGCACAGAGATCCCAGCAGCAACGACTGACCACCAGGGACTGAGGATGAACTCCAGCCCTTCTAGAGCAAGGTAGGGAGGCTGGGTGCACCTCTTAATTATTAAATGTGTGTATGTATGTAATGATTGTGTGTCTGTAATTGTATGTGTGTGGGTCAGTGATTGTGTTTGTGTATATCTGTGATTATGTGTGTGATTGTGTGTGTGTGTTCACATAAGGATAACAAATAAGGGATTTATCTACTAAACAACTGAAAATAAGAAAAGTGCGTTTTTTTAATCCTTTAGCTGTTTAGTAGATCATTCCCTGAATTGGTGCCCGTATGTGAGATTTCCATAAAGATACCAAATGAGGGTGCTGTTTAGCAAATAGCACCTTATTTGGTGTCCTTAAATATGGCAATTCTACAAAGGATAGCAAATAGAGGAGTTATCTAAACAAAGATTGAAATGAAGAGGTGTCAGCCAGCCCACAACAAGAAATCTGGGTGGCTAATGTGAATTATATGCAAATGTGTAGTCAGATGCCAGCATGCTGGCATCAGACAGTCAATGGCAGCATATTACCCCATCCCCTAGCTAGAAGTTTTACTGCTGCCTCTCCCCCTCCTGTTTTGACTGTGGTATCTTATGTGCCCCCCTATATATTGTTTCTAGAGTCGCCACGATGTCTGCATGTGTGTCAATATGTATCTGTGTGTGACTGTGTTTGTGTGTATATGTATCTGCACGTGTGTATGTCCATATATGTGCAGACATCTCAAAATCTCGCCAACACTACACACAAATACACTCATGCATTTCAACGTCAACACTACATACAAACCCCACCATTATATACAACCATACTGTGGCAAACCTAGCCACTTAAGACTGTATTTCCCACTTAAGACTGTATTTACATGTATGTGATATTGTGGCTTTAAGACTACCTGAACTGTCCATGTTCCCTATTCTGTATTTTATGTGAACGAGAGCATTCGTATGCTGGCGGCACGAAAGCCACCAGCATTCATACAGTAGTTTCATGACCTGTGAATTTCAACACTGTTCGTGAAACGAACAAACTACCGAATGGGAGACCACACACAAGAGGTCGTGTGGCTCCCATTACGGATCGCAACAAAGTATCAGTCGGCAGTTAATAGATGTTCAGGGTGGCCGCTGTTCGGATACCGACCACGCGGCGGCCATCTTGGATCCTTTGTTAGCCCAGCGGTGTTTGGTCGTCGAGTGCCTGGACCTAAAATCGGCTACTCGACGGCACGAATACTGCTGGACTTCCAGGCCGTTCGGGAGCACCGGTCTTTCGGTATTTTATCTCTGCATGTGTATTCGGGACTTTTGTGAAGAATTTGTGTTCAAGTGTATTTCGTGCGGGGTTCAGCTAATTGTGCTGGGATCTGAGCGGTACTTTCACAAAGTATGTGCTCAGACCCCAGCTAACTGCCGAACGGTTATTCGGTACAATAGCACGAATAATATTAGAGTTATAGATTTTTGTGTAAAAAGCCAGTTCTGCTGTATGGAGGGATAATCCACTTAACAGTGACAGTATCCCTCTCGTACAGCAGTGCATGTTGGGAGAAATGCTCTGATTGTTAAGTTCCCCATGTAGTCCCCTACTGTACAACCCCTGTAAAGTCAGTAAGGAAACCCCTTGCATGGGGAACCACATAAATACTGGAGCTTGTGAATAAAACCTCAGTTGACTCCCAGCCTATGTGTCGTCTAGCCCTTGGGAAGGAAGGATCTGTATAACGCTACTGGGATTATTGTATGCTGTACTTGTTTTACCTGGATTACTACATGCTGTTACTGTCTACCACTGGAGATATTGTGAATGATACTACCTCTCCGCTACACATATCACTACATTCAAATACTACACAACACACAAATGCATGCTTGCATTCAAACGCCAACACTACATACAAACACACCGCTACATTCACTCACATATACTCCATACAAAAACATGCATGCATGCATGACACACAAACACTGCTCAGTGCTAAATACATTAAAAAAAAAAATTGGGATGTTTTTAATATTAAAAGTTGAGGGGGGGGTGCCAAAAATAGGACCAGCCCCAGGTGCCAAATGCTCTAGGTACGCCCCTGCCCAGTAACTGGATGACACACAGTTCCAGGGGTACAACAACAACTTTATTGGCCACACTCTGCTTTATACTTTTCCCCATGCAAGGGGTGGATCACACATAAAGACAATGTCCCCTTCCAGGGGTCGTATAATGGATCCGGAACCCTAGTCCCTTTGTCCCCTGTTCCCTTTCAGGGTCCTCCCCCTCCCAGGGGTCTCCTGACGGAAATGGAGCTCCAGTCCCTTTGTCCCCTGTTCCCGCCACCCATCCTCAGGGCTTCCCACCTCTGGTGACAAGGGGTTTTCATCCCATGAGCCTCTGTACCCGGGAGCCCCAGCTACAGAAAGCTGCCCGCCTCTATGGCTACCAGCTACAGGAAGCCCGCCACACCGCCATTGTCCCCAAAGAATGTCCCCTGCAATCTCAGGGACCCCACAAGAACACATCTCTATGGGAGTCCCGACTTGCTGCAGTCTTTGACCTTTTGGGAACGGATTGAGGCAAGACAGAGGCAACGGTCACCTACCAAGCCTGGGACTGAGGAAGATTCTGGTGGAGTCGCAACGTCCTACTCATTCTGGCACAAAGCCAAGATGGACTGTCAGCCCACCAGTCATCCACAACAATTTCTACAAGTGCCCAGAAGGCTCCTTTCTCTGGAGATGAAGTAAAGGCATCACTTACAGACTTAATTGGGGATAGGTGAGGACAGTGCACCGCCATGTCGATTTTAATGCCATAAGAACTGCCCATGTGAGGTCCAGAGGTTGCGGTGAAACCATTCAGCATATCTTACATGGCAGCGGTGCTGGATTCCTACTGAACCGTAATTATGGTATCGGTTGATGCCTGCCAACTGACTCTCATTCATACTCTTGTGCTTAGCCTTACTTCCTGGACTTTGCTCAAAGTAGCACTGCCTGAATTTTATTTGTGTAGCCTAAGTTCACCTATTTTGGACAGAATCTCTGACCTAGTTATTGCTAGTTTGCAAAGCCAGATTGTGAAGGAATGCCCTATCACTTGGATCGGTACTATTTCCTTTTATCCCCGTTCGCATGGTTGTTCGAACTCACTTGGTACGGTTCCCGAATGAGGACCACCCCAGCACCCCATTCGAACATGGAACAAAAATTATTAGGTGCAAAACCGCAAAGGAAACAATTAATAAATGCTTACCTGGGTGGCACGTGGATGGCAGAATGGATGGCGGACATTTCGTCTCCTGAACGCAGTTAGCTGTACCTGGTCTTCGAGTGTCTGGAACTCATTTCAGGTAAGCAATTCCATGAACACCGCGTCCCAGTTCCCGACCACCTATTTGAACTGCGTTCGGGAGATATGAATTACCGAATGGGGGAGCATTCGCTACGTGAAAGCAATTGGATATCGTGACGAACGCCCCCTCCCCAGGACGAGTGTGGAAGCTAGCCTCCGGCCAACTGACTGAACCATAGAAAAGGCTGGTAAAAAGACTTGGTTTGTGGGATTTATTTGTACTGTTCTGGACCCGAACAAATTCACGAACTGCGGACCACCTCTGGGCTTATTAACCCCTGTTTTGCTTTCCCAGGAACCATTCTCTTCCTCAGTTTGGGAATCCGTTTAAACTTCATGTGGCGGACAAGTGTTGTAATCCAAGGGAGTATAGTGATTATAGCAATCCCTAGAGTGTCCCCTCCACACATGAGACGAAGCTCTATGTTGAGGGTGAAAAGGAACTTATTTAATGGGAGCCACATGCAGTCTTATATGCAACTCCCCATGCAAGGGGTTTCTGGATATATATATATATATATATATATATATATATATCAGGGGCATTCCCCACTGGAGAGTAGACTACAGCAAAAACATACACATGATTACATTGGCTCTCAGGTCCAGGACACTCCTACACAAAACAAGATAATCCCTCCCCTGTGCCTGGGAGATAATTGAGTCAGGAACTACACTAAACTCAATTATCTCCCAAAAGTACCCCCAAAACACATGGAAACACCCACAAAAGTCACATCTCCTGATAGCCCTGATCTGGGAGACCAACATATCCCAAAATCACCCAGATTGGTTCAGGGGTTCGGGATCTCCATGGAAGTTTGGTCCTTAAGGGATTAAAGGGCTCTTAGTCTTTTGGCAAGAGGCTGGCCAGCAGGCCCCTCCAAGAGCCCATGGCGAGGTTACTTTCACCACAATTTGTTTTTATGTTACCAAAGTTGAAAAACCGCTAGCACTGATTTCATGGAACTGTTTTGGACATAGGACCATATGCGTGGTCGGTCAAATAATTGACTTCCATGGAAATCTCGAACCCTAGGACGATCTGGGTCATTTTTGGATATGTTGGTCACCAAGATCGGGGCTATCAGGGGATGGGTTTTCATGTGTTTTGAAGGTACTTTTGGGGTGTTTGTAAACTTTTCTGTGCCTGGAGATAATTGAGTTTGTACAGTTCCTGACTCAATTATCTCCCAGGCACAGGGGAGGGATTACCCTGTTTTGTGTGGGAGTGTCATGGGCATGTTTTCTGTGTCCTTGTAATGCATAAAAGCAGGCCATTGAGCCTGGATTAACCAGATCATTTTACCCCTTCATTGGGAGTTATAGTCACACTTATAAACACTACGACGCTTGAGACTTGGGAGATTCTACATGGATGTACTCAGCTGGAATACTGGGATCCATTACAGATATCTTGTGTGGTTTTTCTTACAGAAACTCTCGAACTGAGACCAGTTGTTCCCACCATTTCCCTGGAACTGGTGGGAACTTTTATCTCGTGGCCGACCGGTCAAAACTTTACCCCGTTGGCAGTTCCAAACCACCAAACCAATCGGAGCGCTTTTTAGATATGTTGGGCGCTCAGATCAGGGCTATCCGGGGATGGGACTCTTTCCATGTATTTTTGGGTTACTTTTGGGGTGTTGTAAGATTGGTTGCTTATGTTTTCCTGTACCTGAGAGATAATGGAGTTAGTTTCCTGACTCAATTATCTCTCAGACAGAGGGAGGAGTTTACTGTGTTTCTGTATGGAGACCCCCTGATGGGGGTCTGTTTATAAATTGAGAGTGCTTGCCTGAAATAAAGAGAGATCTACTCCCAGCATTCAGTCTCGAATAATGTATGGGGGTAATGCTATACCAGCTATATTCACTTTCACTACTTGATAGAGCTACGTCACACTGGGAAAGGGAGTCCGTTGCGGCGATATACTGGCGGTCAGCCACACAGATGTCTATCACTGGTGTAGCGGAGCTGCAATATTAAATCCCAATATCTCCGCTGGTAAAAGAAAGTAATCCAAGAAAAGCCCTGAATGAAGGCAATATCCCAAATCCCCCAGTAACCGGATGAAACACAGTGCTGGGAGTCAACTGAGGTTTTTATTCACAGGTCCCAGTATTTATGTGGTTCCTCATGCAAGGGGTTTCCTTAATCACTTTACAGGGGTTGTACAGTAGGGGACTGTGGAGGAACCAGCCTCGCCACTGGGCATTGGAGAAGACTGATTGCCAGCCTCCTGCCATGTGACTATGGCCCCTGGGATGTAATGCCTGCTCTCCTGTACTGCTGAGGATTGCTACCAACTAGGTGGATTTGACTATGGAGCTTGTGTAGTGCCCTCTGTTGGTAGCAACAGTAATATGCACTACCTGAATAGCAAGACTGGTAATTTGCATATTCGGGTAGATTTGCATATTGCTAATTCTGCATGCAGGAGAGTCATTTTGTGTTAATTATGTTCTCCACCCATTTATAAATATGTAATTATGTTATAATAAGTCACTGTATGTTGCCTGCTATGATTTGACTGTTTGTAATTTTATTGAGTTTTCACAGCAATTTTAATGTAATGACCATATGGACTAGTCCCAAGTAAAATAAAGTTTTAGACAGTTCTACTTCACCCTCAATTTGGAGTCCTGTCTCATTTTGGGGGAATCTGCTACAAGGGATTGCTATGCTCTGCATATTCCCTTGCTATAATCACTCCTAAGCTCTTTTAAGAGCTCGTTCCTGCTTCGCTCTGAAGGAAGAGAGGTTTGGCCTGCGGTGGTTGTGGTGTCGGCTAGAGTGCTTGGAATCCTCAAGAAGCGCTAGGAGCATCTATCAACAGAGACACCCAGTTGGGGTGCCAGGTGATCAGTTACAGGGACTACATGGGGAACTGAACATACAGGACATTTTTCCCACCAGGCACTGCTGTACAAGAGGGATACTCCCATAAGTGGATTATCCCTCTGTACAGCAGAACCGGCCTTTTTACTTAAAAATATATAACTTGAACGTTATTCGTGCTATTTGACCGAATTACATATAGGTAGATAGCTGGGATCTGAGCGCATACTTCAGGAAACTACCGCTCAGATCCCAGCACAATTAGCCGAATGCCATACGAAATACACTTTAATATAAACTCATCAGAAAAGACACGAATGCACAGTTTGAGGGAAAATACTGAAAGACCGGTGTTCCAGAACGATCTGGAAGTCCTGCGGTGTTCGTGCCGTCGAGTAGCCGATTTTAGTTCCTGGCACTCGACGACCAAACACCGCTGGGCTAAAAGTGAATCCAAGATGGCCACCGACGCGTGGTCGGTATCCGAACGGCGGCCACCCCGCGAATCAATTAACTGAGGAACGATACATTGTTGCAAACTGTTAATGGGAGCCACACGACCTCCTGTGTGTGGTCTCCCATTCGGTACCTTGTTCGTTTCACGAACAGTGTTGAAAGTCACTGTTCGTGAAACTACCATATGAATGCTAGCGGCTTTCGCACCACTAGCATATGAATGCCCTCTATCTCCTTTTTAAGCGAACAACATGAAACAACATAAATTAAACAGCCTTTCTAGGACAACCATTAGATATAAAGGAATAGTATTAAGTGGATAGGTTTGCCTCAGCTGGTACTATATCTTAGGATGCATTGCCTTTACAACAGATATAACTGCCCTTTCTTCTTTCTGTATTGTACTTTCCATGCCTCAATAAAAAAGAATAAAAAATGCAAATACGGAACTCCTTCTGAAGAGAAGCCAGCTTTCTCACCAGTATATACAACGCTCATATCAACACTTCCGCGAACATGGACATGGAAACAAATGCCTTCTGACAAACCTACTCAAACAATGCAATGCACAACTATTGTGAAGGAATTCCCAGCACCATTCGGCGATTTGCACTCCCTGCTATCTACTTCCCTTAGTTTTTTGTTTTATTTTATGTCCGTTCGTTAAATCATATGTTTTACCGAACTGAGACCACCCTGGGACTAATTCGAACTTGGAACACTGTGTAGCAATACGGAAACCGCAGACTAATTGACTACTCCTAGGTGGCCGCCATTTCTTGCATACGAACGCACGTGGTGAGAACAATGGACGGCAGCCATCTTGTCTCCCGAATGTGGCCAGTGGGACTTGGTCATTTTTGGCACTCGCACGAACCCCAGTCTATATGGAAGTCCCCTATGTTCTATTCCCCAGCACTGTAGACGAACGGCTTTCGGGAGTTTGAAACCGACGAACGACAGGAGCATTCTACACGAACCATTTCTATTTTACCTATTGCGGTTTTCATATGAATCTACACGAACGGAGACCGGTTCTTGCCACAAATCTTCTGGAATGGTTTATCGGCTTCACCCTCGTGGTAGACCTGTCAACCTTCAACATGGTTTCCATTCGAAAACTACCAAACGGATTTGGCTGAAATTTTAATATGTTTCTCCCACAGAGTTCAGCTACCGAGGGATATGATGTTTGTGGGGTTTTTATGTATTTTTGGGGTATTTCTAAAAAATTGTGACAATGTTAACTTTTTCTGGCTAGCAGATAATTGATTTTAGCATGTTTCCAAAACTCCATTATCTCGCTGGCTCAGAGGAGGTGTCATGTGTATAAATTGGATGCCTGTTTTTCCATTAAACCAGTCTTGTCCCAGCATTAAGCTTTGGCTCACGTGTGGGTTATTATGCGACACCAGCGATATTGGAACCTTTTGGATTACTGGCGATATTATTTCATGGAATGAGGAAATACCAGACGGGAATAACTATTCTGACCATCACAACTGGTTATCAGCGGCGGGATCATCCTTTTTTCCTGCATAATCAACTAATTAATGGAGCTAGACCGAGAGAACTTGGCTGCGGCAAAACCGACCGTTCGGGAAAATGAAACATCGATCAACAGGGAGATCAGTGAACGACTGCCACTGTTCGGGCCAAACCCACCTCCTGAAATCATCATCCAGATGATTAACAATGTGACTGAAAATGCGAACACAAAGGAACAGCGAAAGCTACAACTGAAGCTGGCTGAAAACCAACGAACAGCAGCAATTTCACCGAACGGGGGTAACAGCATAGTCAAATCGCGGAAGATTTCCTTCAGCGCTTTTAAAAGTTTAAATGAGACAGAAAGCGAAATTGATGGCTATCTGGCAGATTTTGAGCGCCAGTGTGCTCTACACAAAGTGGCTCCAGACGAATGGGTCCAGATATTAGCAGGAAAGCTGACTGGCAAAGCAGCCGACGCCTTCAGGGCAGTTTCAGATCAGGAGATCCACAGTTATGAGCGGGTAAAAGAGGCGCTCCTGAGGCATACCGCAGGAAATTCTGGGAATCTCGCTAAGTGGACAAGGATCCCTATACAGAATGGGCCTGCTACTTACAGTTATCAGCCTCCTATTGGATTACAAGCTGCCAAGCAGCCACTGTAGATGACATCTTGCAGCTTATCCTACTAGAACAGTTTTATAACCATATCCAGACAGACGTCAAGGACTTGGTAAGAGACCACAGACCCCTCTCCCTACCCAAGGCAACCAAACTTGTGGATGAGTACACTGATGCCCGCAAGGCAGAGCGTGCTAAACCTCAGGTTCAGCCTCTTCAGACCGAGACGCCACCACAACCAGCAGTAGCAAGATACCAGACCCTGGACGCCCAGCTAACAACGAGCCCCGCTGTTTTCGCTGCAAGTAACTGGGGCACCTGCGCAACAACTGTCCCCTGGAAGCCCCCAGGTCCAACTGGACTCGCCCTGGGTTTTCCAACCCCCGGGAAGCAGCACATTGCGTGGATTACCCTGCACCCACTGCTTGGGACGCCAGGGAATTGAGCCACGAGGAGCTCCATGAAGCCCACTGTAGCGGAGATGCAATAGTACCCAGGTTATCTCCGCTTATAATCCAAGTGAGACTCAGGAACAAGTAAATAGTAAATCCAAAGGCAGGGTTTCCAGCAGGTAAAATACAGCAATATCCCAACAGCAATCCCAATAACTGGACGACACACAGTTTCAGGAGCATAACTGACAAGCCTTTAATCACAGTCTCCTTATAAAGCATGCTCCCATGCAAGGGAGGGATTACAGTAATTATTACAGTAGCCAATCCTGTCCTGGTAACCTCCCACACATCCCCTCCCCTCAGCCAGCATCATAATCCCCTTAGCCAGCACACCAATTCCCCCCATTTCTGGATGTACCCCTAAACGTAGGGGTACCTCTTTAAATCATACATCCCCTGGTAGCCCTGATCTGGGTGAACAACATATCCAAAAATCACCCAGATCAGACCAGGGGTTCGGGAAAAGTATGGAGGGAATAAAATGACCGACCGCACGAACTGAGATAGCCGAATTCGGTTCCATGTGAATGGGCCTTGCGGTCGGTCCTGGCATAAGGGAATAAAATACACGAAAGCCTCTAGCTATAGAGGCTAGGGAGGGTTCGCCTGAATCCCCTCGCTCGGTATTCTCTATTTACCGAACGAGGGGCCGTTCGGTAGTTTGGAACCGAACGGACCAGGGCTGTGGAGGTCTCAGCGGTGTTCGCCTACTCGAGTGTCCGATTTTAGTTCCAGACACTCGACGGCAAAACACCGCTGTTCGGGAGTTTTAAAATGGGCCGCCACGTGTTCGTTTGTCGAATGGCGGCCACCCCCGAGAACAAAGGACGGCTACTTACTGTTCAATTACCCGTTCGCAACAATGTTGCAACAGGTAATTGAGGACACACTTCACACAGGGAGGTCGGGTTGTTCGATGGTTTCATTCGAATAAACTAAGGGAATGAAACTACCGAACAATCAGAGGAATACAATTCTTTTTCAATACACAGAAAATACAGCAGATACACGGATGCAGCTTTATACAGTATTTTTGTAGGGTCGCCTGGTGCAATCCGCTACACCCACCTGGTCCAGTCCACCATCACTGACAACCAGAAACACCATTGTCAGTTAGTGATGGTCAATGGGAAAACTGCCCGAGGCCTTAGGGACACTGGAGCCACCATCACTTTAGTCCAGAGGCTCTTGATCGACAATTCAGAACGACCGGGTAATCCATTGCTGTTCGAGTAGCCAGGAGGGCTATATATCGGATTCCCATTGCCAAGGTCCACCTAGACTGGGGTGCCGGAGCCAGCAATGTCAATGTGGGGGTCATGAAGGAATTGCCAGCAGAGGTCGTATTGGGAAAGGACATTGGGCCGCTAACCTCCTCCTTCATACCCACACCTACTCACGATGCTCAAGCCGTAACCACCAGAGCCCAAAGCCGTGCTGCCGAGAGCCATCCGCCTCCTACTGAGACCCAGGTAAGACAACCTACCCCGCCCCTGACTGTAGAGCCCCTTCCCTGGGATACCCCAGAGGATTTTGAGAGGGAAGTAGTGGGGGACTACTCACTAAGAAAGTACAGGGAAAAGGCTAGGGTAGATCAAGGGGGACTAGGAGGGGAGCAGCTAGTCTGGGAGGGTGGCCGGTTGTACAGGCTTACGGAGTCCCGGGTCAACGCACCCGGACCCCGGCAAAAAACGCACGCTGGTAATCCCAAAGAAGTACCGGCGGGAGTTGTTGCTAATAGGGCATGATGTCCCATTAGCAGGGCATTTGGGGATACGCCGGACGTTACACCGGGTAACCCAGAACTTTTTCTGGCTTGGGGTATCCGATGACGTCTGGAATTATTGCCAGACATGTGAGGTGTGCCAAAGAGTAGGTAAAAAGGGAGTCTTCATAAAGTCCCGTGGGAGGGACGAAACGCGTAGACAGGCTGAGTTCTGGACCTGCTGTTATTTGATTGCTGTTTTGGAGTGAAAGCAGGAAGTATACATCTATTTTGGCAGTCTTTCCTTCGTTTGGCTATGTTTGTTGGATTTTACCTCTGAAGCTATACTTAATTGTGTCGGGGTACATTTTCGATCCACACCGCGGTCTTTTTCGAAGACTCCGACCGCGGTGCATCAGTCAACGACTCTAAAGGACATAAAGTGTGCCGCATTCTTCCTTATTATATTTTTAGACTCTCTGCCCCCTTTTTTTACCTCGGTGGGGGCCCACACCGAGGAGAGGTATTGTGTCTATATTTCTCTATCACAGTATATCCGCATACATATTTGTGTCTGGGTTTGGGGTGGGGAAACACTCAGACACTTTGTTATTTTTTACGTAGAGTCTGGGTGTTTTTACCACTTAATTTCCTTACTCATTATAGAGCTGTGTGGTTACATTTGTTTCACGATAGCGATATTGTTTTTAATTGTTTATATAACAGGTCCAGATTATCTTTGGTATTTTTGATAACTATTATCTAACTGTTTCTGACGAATAAACAGTGGTTTATTTATTCATAATTATAATTATTTTTATTTTTTGACTGGGTAAGTGTCCACACTATTACAATTTGTGAGCTCTCACTCAATATTAGTCGCTGGTGATTGTGTGGAACTACCCTTTCTTTTCTTTTATTTATATATTTCACCATTACTATATATTTTAAAAAAAGGGAGACAACTCTAAAGCCAAAATGGTCCTGATGCCCATCATAGAGGAACCCTTCACGAAGGTAGCGGTAGATTCCACTAGCCCAGCCTAGCCACTCCGGTAAGCGCTATATACTTACCGTAGTGGACTACGCCACCCACTACCCAGAGGCAGTAGCTGTCTCCAACATCCACGTTGAGACTGTGGCTGATGCCCTGGTCAAGATCTTCTCTCGGGTGGGATTTCCCAAAGAGATTTTATCTGACCGGAGTACGCAGTTCACTGCAGAATTGACTCAGCAGTATTGGAAGGTTTGTGGGATTAAACCCCTGAACAGCTCCCCGTACCATCCTCAGACTAACGGTCTCTGTGAGCGCTTTAACGGGACTCTGAAGCAGATGCTGAAGACGTTCACGGGCGCCTACAGAGACTGGGAGCGATTCCTGATGAATCTCCTCTTTGCGTACCGGGAGGTGCCCCAGGAATCAATGGGATTTTCGCCCTTTGAGGTGTTGTACGGGAGGCGCATGAGGGGACCCTAGACCTTATTAAATATCATTGGAAGGGCCAGACAGAGATAAAGGGGACTCCGATTGTGCCCTATGTGCTGGAGCTGAGGGACCGCATGGAGGAATTGGCTCAGACAGTTAGGGAAAACCTCCAAGCGGCCCAGCGGCACCAGAGAGTATGGTACGACCGGAGAGCCAAGCACCGGAGCTTTCAAATTGGACAAAAAGTTATGGTTCTAAAGCCAATCTGGAAAGACAAGCCTCAGGCAGCCTGGCAGGATCCGTATAAGGTTATTGGGCAGGTGTGCGATACCACCTACGTCATAGCTAGCTGTGAGAATGAGGATGTGAGACGGACGTTTCACATCAGTATGCTCAAAGCCTATAAAGAAAGGGCCGAAGAAGTGACGGCCATATGTGCCCCAGCAGGGGAGGACACAGAAGCCTTACCCTTACCAGACCTGTTAGGGGGTGACGGGGAGACGAGGAATATAGAGTTAGTCCAACTGGGGACCCTACGAACGGGCTCAAGCCAACCACCTGCTGGAAGCCAAACAAACCACGTTCTCCCAGGAACCCGGGTATACCCAGTTAGCGGTCCACAAGGACAGGCTCCCTTGAGACAACCCCCGTACCGCATTCCCGAAGCTGTTGAGGACGGGATGCGGAAGGAAATAGAGGAGATGCTTCACCTAGGAGTTATAGAACACTCAGAGAGTCATTGGGCCTTCGATTACAGGCAGCTCAACAACAAAACGGTGACAGACGCCTACCCGATGCCCCGGATAGACGAACTACTCGACCGTATATCGAAAGGGAAATATCTGACCACTATCGACCTCTGCAAGGGATACTGGCAGATCACCCTAGCAGAAGAAGCTGTCCCCAAGTCAGCCTTCATCACCCCGTTCGCGATAGACCAATTTCGAGTTATGCCGTTAGGGATGAAGAACGCTCCAGCCACCTTCCAAAGGATGGTAGACCGCCTCCTAAATGGTCTCCAGGACTATGCTTGTGCATACCTGGACGACATCGCTATTTATAGCGACACCTGGGAGGCTCACCAAGAACACATAGGGACAGTGATAGATAGGATTAGGGGTGCCGGTTTGACCTTGAAGCCTGACAAGTGTCACATCGGTATGGCGGAGGTGCAATATTTGGGGCACCATGTTAGATGTGGTAAGCAACGACCAGAGCCAGCTAAGATCGAGGCCGTTGCTAACTGGCCCACTCCCCATACCTTCCTAGGGACAGATGTTACAGGCGTTTTGTACCCGACCTAAAAAGAAGCTACCCCGACAGGTCCTGTGGTTCCCGGAGTGTGAGGTGGCTTTCCAAGCTCTAAAACAAGCTCTTGTCAATGCCCCTGTTTTGGCTGCCTCAGATCCTAACAAACGCTTTATCGTCCATACAGACGCTTCCATGTTTGGACTAGGGGCAGTTTTGAGCCAAATCGGAGAAGACGGTGGGGAGCACCCGGTGGCTTATCGGAGTCGGAATCTTTTGCCTAGGGAGGTCAGCTACGCGGCCATTGAGAAAGAGTGTTTGGCCCTAGTCTGGGCACTCAAGAAACTGACCCCTTATCTGTATGGCCGCGCCTTCACTCTCATCACAGACCACAACCCCCTAGTCTGGCTCAACTGGGTCGCTGGAGATAATGCCCGTCTGCTACGGTGGAGTCTTGCCCTACAGCCTTACGACTTCACCATTCACTACCGTCCAGGCAAACAAAATGGGAACACAGATGGACTTTCATTCCCACAGTTCACTTGGACTAATATTACACTTTTGCCCAAAGACGGCAAGGACCCGACCCTTTGCCAGAGCTACCGGCCGACATCTGTGTTGAACAATGATCTCCAGTTTCTTTTCAAGGTCCTTGCCAACTGCATCTCCCCTCTGTTGCAGGGCACTATTAAACTGGACCAAACCGGGTTCATCTCGGGCAGGGAGGTCCGGGATGAAGCAAATTGCAATGGCTTGACACGGTGGCCCACCAGTTCTACTCCTGTCCACAGATGCCGTAAAAGTGTTTGACAATGTGGACTGGGAGTTCATGTTAAGCATACTACGGGAGGTGGGCGTGGGACAGAAATTTATGTCCTGGAATTCCACTTTAAATTCCAATCTGATAGGACGATTAAAGGACCACTCTAGGCACTCAGACCACTTCAGCTTAATGAAGTGGTCTGGGTACCAGGTCCTTCTAGGGTTAACCCATTTTTTTAATAAACATAGCACCCTCAGGGCACTATAGTGCCAGGAAAACGAGTATGTTTTCCTGGCACTATAGTGGTCCTTTAAGAATCAATGGAGCCTTATCAGACCTGTTTGATATCAACTCAACGCCTCAACTCCCAATCAGGTCATGTAAATCGCATCTGCAATATCTTGGGGATTGGTGGACTATGGACCCTATGGATTTGTATCAGGGCCGGACTGGGAAAATAATTCAGCTTGGGCCTTTAAAGGCAGAGCAGCCTGGTTAGAGGGGGAAGGAACATAAAGTGGGCGTTTCATGTCATCAATAATGACATGCAAACCACCTCAAAGTGAGTATGCTAATCTGCTATCCCTCCAGGGCATTTCATGCGCAGAGCCCTGTTGAAGAGCACTTGCATGGGACCAATGCCCTGTGTTTATTTTTCACAGCTCTGCGATTGCTTGTGACTTGTCTATGGTGTCCCTATAAAAGGGATAACAGAGGACAAAAGTGGGGTATGGCCAGTTAAGGGTGTTGGAATTTGTGGGGAGGCTCTCTGTGGCACTGTATGTGGTTGGAAGCTGATTGTGAGATTTGCGTGTGCATAGCTTTGACTGTGGTTTGTGTTTAAAGGAGTCTGTTGTGGACTGAAGTGTGTTTATATGTTTCCACTGGATGTAAAGTGTGAGTCTAGAGCTATAGAGAGTGTGTGTCTGTGTGTGTATTTGAAGTACTTCTAGAGAGTGTACTGTGCTTGTATGTGTATCGGAACTGTTGTGTGCGTGTGGGTGTATCTAGGGGTTGTAGCGGGTTACAGGAGCTGTAATGTGCGATTTTATGTATAGGGGCTGTAGTTTGTGTTTCAGGGTAGTGTTTGTATATGAACTGTAGTTTGTGAGTTTAGGGGCTATAGAGAGTTTGTGTGTCTAGAAGGTGTGTGTGTGTGTGTGTGTGTGTGTGTGCGCATCTAGGGGCTGTAGTGTGTGTATATGTGTATCTAATGTTTATGTATATGTATGTAGTGTGTATGGGGCTACAGAGAGTTTGCGTTGGGGTTGCTGTGTGTGTGTGTGTGTATAAAAGTCTTTAGAATGTATTTATGAGGATGTTGTGTAGGGGGGCATAGGGTTCAGCATGTAGAGGGGAAACAAATCTTAAGATTTAAAAAGTCAAAACCTTAAAAAAATACTTTTATGAGCTTAATGACTATTAACACATTTAATATACTGCCCTTCTTCCCCCCTCCCCTAATTTAATACACCCCACTCCCTACCACCAATTTAATACACCCCGGCCCCAATTCAATACACTGTCCTCTCTCCCTGATCCTCCCCAAATTCTATACATTGCCCTGCCTCCCCTCATCCTCCCTCATTTTAATACAATGTTCTCCCTCCCCTCAATCTCCCCAATTTAATACACTGGTACCCCTCATCCTCCCTCAATTCAATACACTGCCCACCCTCCCCTCATTTTAATGTTCTCCCTCCCCTCAACCTCCCCAATTCAATACACTGGTACCCCTCATCCTCCTTCAATTCAATACACTGCCCTCCCTCCCCTCATCCTTCCCCAATTCAATACACTGCCGTCCCTCCCCTCATCCTTCCCCAATTCAATACACTGGTACCCATCATCCTCCCTCCCATGAGACGAGGCTCTATGTTGAGGGTGAAGAGAAACTGATTTAATGGGAGCCACATGCAGTCTTATATGCAACTCCCCATGCAAGGGGTTTCTGGAGATATATATATATATATATATATATATATATATATATATATCAGGGGCATTCCCCTCTGGACCCGAGAGGAGACTACAGTAAAACATTGGCTCTCAGGTCCAGGACACTCCCACACAAAATAAGATAATCCCTCCACTGTGCCAAGGAGATAATTGAGTCAGGAACTACACTAAACTCAATTATCTCAAGGCACAGAAAACATATATTTTACAATATCCCGAAAGTATTCCCAAAACACATGGAAACCCCACAAACGTCACATCCCCGGATAACCCCAATCTGGGTAACCAACATATCCAAAAATCACCCAGATCGGTTCAGGGATTTGGGATTTCCATGGAAGTCATAATTTGACAGAGAGTACACAATACAGTAAAAGTACAGAATACACTGCCCAGTCTCTCCCCTCATCCTCCCCCAATTCAATACATTGCCCCCCCTCCCCTCATCTTCCCCCAATTCAATACACTGCCCTCCCCCCATTCAATATACTGCTCTCCCTCCCCTCATCCTTCCCCAATTCATTACACTGCCCCCCTCATCCTCCCTCAATTCAATACACTGCCCTCCCTCCCCTCATCCTTCCCCAATTCAATACACTGCCTCCCCCTCATCCTATCCAATTCAATAAACTGTCCTCCTTCCCTCATCCTTCCCCAATTCATTACACTGGCCCCCTCCCCTCATCCTCCCTCAATTCAATACACTGCCCTCCCTCCCCAATTCAATACACTACCCTCCCACCCCTCATCCTCCCCAAATTTAATACACTGCCCTCCATGCCTCCCCTCATCCTCCCTCAGTTCAATACACTGCCCCCCTCTCCCCTCATCATTCCCAATTAAATACACTCTCTCCCCTCATCATCCCCCAATTCAATACACTGTCCACTCTCTCCGCTCATCCTCCCTCAATTCAATACACTGCCCTCCCTCACTCCCCTCATCCTCCCCCAATTCAATACACTGCCCTTACTCACTCCCCTCATCCTCCCCCAATTCAATACACTGCCCACTCTCTCACCTCATCCACCAATTCAATACACTGCCCTCCCTCCCCTCATCCTTCCCAATTCAATACTGTAACAGATGCCCTGTTCCTGGAGATTCTTGTTTACTTTGCCTGGATCAGTATACGAATCCAACCGAACAGATTTGCCCGAGCTGGTTCGTATACCGAATAATATACCGAACCATTGGACCACCCAGAGCAGTCGCGTGTCTCCAATTGACCCAATTTACCTTACCAACACTTGCTCTAATCACAACACTGAATGTTCTAAGTGGTTCACTGGGTGGCCGTCATTCTTATGCCCGAACACGTGGCAGTGACCATCTTGTTTTGTTGAACGCATCCAGCAGTGCTTGGTCGTCGAGTGTATGGAACTATTTTCAGACACTCGATGGCCCGAACACCGCTGAGACTTCCAGGATCACCTAGGTTTGTTCCAAGTCATCCGAAAGAGGCGACGTTCGGTGAAACCTAACTTCCGAAAGAGGGGCACACGACTAGCTTTCTGGGCAGGAGCCTCATGTGTGGCCGATCAAAAATAAGACTTCCATATGAATCCCGAACCCCTGAACCGATCTGGGTGATTTCTGGATATGTTGCTAACCCAGATCGGGGCTATCAGGGGATGTACTTTTTATGGGGTTTGTGTGGGCTTTTGGGGTACTTTCAGATTGTCTATAAATGATGTTCTTTTTCGCCTGGAGATAATTGAGTTGATACAGTAATTGACTCGATTATCTCCCAGGCAGAGGGGAGGGATTGTATGCCATGTGTGGGAGTGTCATACATTGTAACTCTGTCATTATTAGTTTATAAGTTTGTATTGTAGTCCCCAACAACGTCCATGTGGGAGTGCCCTTACATGGGGAATTACATAAAAGGCCAGTATGGCTACCATTAAACCAGTCCACTTAACCCTCAACACGCAGCCTTGTCTCATGATTGTAAGGAACTGCTATACTGTCATAATCACTAGTTCTTATAAGAGCTCTATAGCTATATTGGATTCCTGGTCTGCTTGGATATCAACTGGAGAATACTGCAGCGCTACTCAGACTAGGGGAAAAGGACATCTCTGGTGGTAGATACCCCTCCTCACTCGGGGTGATCGTCACAAATACACTGCCCTCTCTATCTCCCCTAATCCTCCCCCAATTCAATACACTGCCCACTCTCTCCCCTCATCCTCCCTGTGACGGTATTCCCCATCACCTGTACCTTCAGACAGACTATTTATGTAGGTTGCTTTACTTTTCTTATGTTTGAGTCACCCTGTACCCTTTATAGGTGCAGGGTGTGTGCAATGTAATGGTTTATATTGTGTGTGTATACTGTTAAATGTACTACCTGCTCTCCTGTACTGCTGATGATTTCTACCAACTGGATGGATTTGGCTCTGGAGCCTGTGAAGTGCCCTCTGTTGGTAGTAACAGCAATATGCACTATCTGAATAGCAAGGTTGGTTAACTTGCATATTCAGGTAGATTTGCATATTGCTAATTCTGCAGGCAGGAGAGATATTTTCTGTTAATTATAGTCTTCCCCAACCCTTTATAAATATGTAATTGGGTTATAATAAGTTGCTGTATGTTGTCTGCCATGATTTGACTGTTTGTATTTTTTTGCAGAGGAATAGGCAGAAGGGATGATACCTGCCTGGAAAAAGAGCTGCAGCCTGGTCGGGAGGAAGAGCGACTGGGGTTGAAGCTTTCCAGTGTCCCTGCAAGTGGCTAGGAAGTGGCCTGGACGGAGGTCCGTCACACTCCCCCAATTTCATACACTGCCCTCCCTCCCCTGCTCCCCCAATTCAATACACCCTTCCCTCATCCTCCCCCAATTCAATACACTGCCCTCCCCTCATCCTCCCTCAATTCAATACACTGCCTGTAACGGAACCCCCGCTAAAACGTGAACTGCCCCAGTACCCTGCAATGTATGTTACTATCCTGACATCCCTTTTATGTGTTTACCTATCTGTGCATAAGAGGCAATCCAGTTCCTTCTCAGGTACAGAGAAATCCTTTTATCTTGTCACAAATGGTTTGTTAGGCACAGACCCCTACATGGGGTCTACAACACAATGCGAAAGGAAGGGAGAAGGGGAGAGACACAGACAAGCAATACATTATTAAAAAGCCCTAAAGATATAATGATTGTTCTCTAGACAATGGCGGAAACCTGTGCCTAAATAAACGATGATATTGATAATAGCTAAACGCTAAGCTTGAGGAGATAAAACTGATGTTGGAAGGTTGGAGCTGTGCAAGTTAATAACTGGATACCTTGTGTATATATATGAAATTGAAATTTGTTAGCCGGGAAAACTGCTGGACTACAGTCAAAATAGAAATCGGCTATTTTAATTATGTATATATATGAAATTTAACATTGGTATATGCCATCTTTAATGACCACTCCCGAAAAAAAATGCTATAGACGCAGTGACCGTTTTTTTAGATTTGCGACGTCTACAGTGATCGCTCTTCGATAATAGTCACAGCTATATCCGCCAGATAACGGCGGAATTTATATCTCAACTAAATATTGATACATAGTTATATCTAACAAATATTTACAGAAGTAGATTGCTATAAAAGATAATGCCTCCCAAAAAAGAAAAAGAAAAGGAGAAAAATAGCAATACAAATTCGGACAAGACTAAGGGTATTAATATCTTTTATTCACCTAAACTTCAAGAAAGGAGTACTTTGAGTAGACTATCCCATGTCTCTAGCTCAAGAACAAACCCAGATATCCTCACAGGAGGTAACATTGCAAATACTCAACGATGCATTGGAAAATGTATATATTAAATTGAAACAGGATGTAGAAGATATTCCAAAATATTAAAAGAGGAGATTTTAAATTTATCTATAAATCTGCAAATACAAGCGGACAGTCTTAGGCAAATACAAATTAATAATGAGGAACTGACGAGGAAATGCAACTATCTGGAGGAGAAAATACAAACCATAGAAACAAAAATGGGTGACTTAGAAGACCGCTCAAGGAGGAATAACATCAAAGTAAGAGGGATTCCTGAAAATATCAAATTTGATCAATTGGAACAATATTTAAAAACCCTCTTTCAAAGACTTACTCCTGACTGTCCTCTACGAGATTTACCATTTGAGAGATTTCATAGATTAAGCAAACCAAAGCATTTGTCATCTAACGTGCCCAGAGATACAATAGTATGTTTTTCCAATAACCAGGTGAAGAATCGGACTATGCAAGCTATGCAGAATAAAGGATTGGATGATCCTGAATTTAAAGATATAAAATTATTTTCTGATTTGTCTATGATGACTCGTCAATCAAGAAAAAAATTTGCTACTCAGACTGCCACTTTAAGATCTCATGGGATTAAATACAAATGGAATTTTCCAACGGCTCTCCAAGTCTATTATCAAGATCAACTATTTTTTCTAAAAAATGTAGAGGATGTACAACAGTTTATGTTAACATGGAAGTTAACATAGAATAACAATGTTAACTGCAGGACTCCTTTAGTTCCCTCCTTTTTTTTTTTTTTTTCTGGTAAAGGAGGAAGGGAGAAAGAGAGAATGATGGGGGAAGACACTATTAGAGGGATATATTTATAATAAAAGGATGTAATATTTAATAGGCAATCATACTTTATAATAAACACATAAGTTAATATTACAAATTTAAAATATTAGGGTGATATATTGACACTTTATAACACATTAAATATAAGGAAATGGTGAAATCATCTATTTACTTACGAGAATGGGGGTTAATAATGATCTTATAAGTATTAGGCTATTATATTAATAATTAGTAACACATAACTGCATAAAGAACAAAACCGTTTTAAATAAATTTATTGACACCACTATGAAAGGGGTAAATAATGTTTTTTTTTTTTCTTTTATCAGGTTGTTATATTAATATTTTGTAACACATATATGTATAAGGAGCAAAATTGTTTTAATTAATTCACCGATATAAATATGAAGCAAGTTATTTATGGAATAATTCACTTATCACTAACTATAAAATTTAGGATGGAGTAAGGTAAAACTTGTTTATTTAAGTACGTATCTATTTTTTTTTTTTCTCTCTCATCTCCATCCTGGTGTAATATTGGAACAGGAGTTGGAACAACTTATTTAACGTTGTATCGATATAATAATATGTTGAATATGATATAAGGTTAAGGAGGAGAAGGAAAAGAAAGGGGAAAGGATACATATAAATATATTACATTCTGACTGGTTATTATGTTATTATGGATATGGATTCCCTGATATAAATAATAGTATGATCTATCGATACCCATATCTACATGTTTACATGTTTAGATCTTTTGGGGAATCTAATGATGAATATAAAATGAATAATTTGAACTAATAATCTTACCTTAAGCTTGTCTAGCTTATATAGATATACATATACAAAGAATGTTAGTGATAAAATAACCATATTCTTTATTTTATATATAAATTATGTCAATGGATAAAAATGTAGCTATAGTTCTGGGGGTGTGTAAATGTTGGCTAAGGGTTAAAATTTGTTTATATTAAGGTGTCTCTTACATTCCCCAATGGAACCTATTTTCCTGCATATCAGGGCAGGCTAGTCCAAGAGTCATATGGGAATGATTTCCTCTTGGATTATTAAAGGTGGGGGTATATTCCCCTCTATGTTTTTTTTGTTCACAACTTATTTATTCTTTTTTTTTATTTTCTGTATTTTTTGGCTGTTTTTTTTTTTTTCTTTTTCTTTTTTTTTCTTGTTTTAATATGTAGCTGTGTGAGACTTGGTCTGGGATGGGATAGGGATTTCTGGAATAGAGATGTCACTTAAAATAATTACTTGGAATGTCCAGGGCATGAATTCACCTCAAAAAAGGGGAGCTGTATATAAATTCTTAATTGAAAATTCAATTGACGTAGCTTTTATTCAAGAGACTCACTGGATTGAAACTCCTGATAGACTATGGAAATATAAAAAATTCCCTACAGTTTATGCAGCAAATTTGGAAGGTAAGAAGAAAAAAAGGGGAACGGCTTTTATTATCTCAAACCGACTTAGTTTCGAAGTTATTCACTCAATAACTGATAAAAATGGTAGATATCAGGTTTTAATTAGAAAAATCAATGGTCTCACATTTACCTTTGTAAACATATACGCTCCGAATTACAACCCGTCAGATCTGCTAGATCAAATTATGGATATTGTAGATGAAGTTGCCTGTGGTAGTATTATAAAAGGAGGAGATTTTAATAGTGTTGTTGACCTAACTAAAGATAGAATTTATAAATATTCTGAGAATTGTAACCCTTGCAATATAGGACTATTTGGCTTATCTGATTTTTTAGCTAAAAATTCCCTGTTTGACTGCTGGCGAACTATGAATCCTCAGGAAAGAGACTATACATTTTTTTCGCATGTACATCAAACTTATTCTCGCATTGATATGTTTTTTGTGAAAGAGGGTCTTTTAAATAACATCATAAAATCTATAACTGGCTCTATAGAAATTTCGGATCATGCCCCAGTTTTTTTGAGAATTAGGATAAAAGAAGGTAATACTCCAAGGACTAAATGGAGGCTTAATGAAAGCCTTTTGAAACTTGACTATATCAAGGACCAAATAGAAATAGAAATAGAAAACTTCTTAAAAACTAACTATAACGGAGAAGTTGCAACACCAATTGTATGGTGTACCCTAAAAAGTTTTACAAGAGGACTATTAATAAAGTTCGGTTCTGAAAATAAACGAAAGAAAGGTGAATCATTGTGACAGACCCATCTGTCTGGATTACAAATGCTTTGTTCGCCTGTTTTGCCGGTTACATGAATTTCCCCATTCGTATGCTTTATTCAAGGGAATGTCGGTTTTGTCGAACGGAACTACCGAACGGACGGCCACCCAGAAGAGAAGTGTGCTGCTGGTTAACCTATTGATCCCAATTAGAACGTTGCGGTTAACCACAGACACTTCTCAATTAAAACCGAATGCCGGGTGGTCGTCGTTCGTATGTCGACCACGAGGCGGCGGCCATTTTGTCCATGCGAACGACCAGCGGTGTTCGACGATTATTTCATGGATCTGAAAACGGACACTTTTTCAGCCGAACACCGCTGAAGCCGTCGACCTCCCCTTCTCAATCGACAAAAGTATACGAATGCCAGCCGTTCGGGAGATTCAACCACACGAATGGACTTAACCCAGATAGCCGTCCCATGGAGTCAATCGCATACTGAAGAACTGAAAGAGACTTTGACTCCATGGCGATTGAACTATGCGAATGGGATCTGAGCGCTATTCTCCAATAATGTGCACTCAGATCCAGGCTATCTGGGGATACGTAATACGAATGTAATATGTTCGGCAGTTATGATATGAAGTTATGGATTTTCATGTGTTTTTGTGACTTGTGTTTAAAATGGCGTTTGCCTCTGCTCGGGGAGATAATTGAGTTACTTCCCAATTATCCTCCGAGCAGAGGGGAGGGAACTGTACTGCATGCTGGGAATATTGTGGGGATGTATGTCCAAAATGTCCCCATGTCCCTCTGAAATTTCAGTCTCCCATTTGGTCCCCTAGGGGAGTGTCCACCAAGTGGGAGACCTGCATAAATACCGGGCAGGTAGCCCACAGTAAATCAGTTCGTGTTTTACCCTCAAAGCGGAGCTTGGTCTCGTTATTGGGGGGATTTGGTTACCAGCGACTAGCGACTACTTATTTGGATTATTTGCCGCTTGGGAGTTATTGACGTTCGGTTACTATTTGCCGTTCGTGGATTTGCAGCTCGAGAAGGGAATCAGCCGTACAGGTACCGTTCGGGAGTTTGGAGTGTTCCCTGGCTGGCGGTTCGCATGGTTTTATTATACTCGCTACCCGACCACATTATTGCGAACGGGGAATACTCGCTAAACGGCGGTTTGTACATTTTACTACTGGAGGTACCGTAGCAATCATTACATGTCCTGAGGATTAAATTAGCGAAAATGGAACGACTAAATAAAATATCAATAACTAGGGAATTAATAGAGGAAATTAATAATATAAAGCTAATTATTAAGGATAAAATATATGAGGAGATTAGTAAAAATCTATCCTTCCTTAAACAAAGATGGTACCATAATAATAATAAAATAAATAGGGATCTCTCTAATAAAATTAAGAACCAACATAAAGATAAATCTATAAAAAAAACTGATGACAAAAGGAGGAAAGGTTTTAAATTTACCTAAAGATATAGCAGAGGCTTTTGCAACATTTTATAGTTCGTTATATAATTTAGAGGAGGTCAAGGCAAGTAATGGTGAAATTGACAGATTTCTCAAGAACCTCAGACTTCCTAAGTTAAGCCTAGAGAAACTAGAATATATAAATGCTCCTTTTAGAGAATTGGAAATTGAAGAAGCGATAGAGAAATTAAAACCAAATAAGGCCCCAGGCCCGGATGGAGTCTCTGCTATTTTTATAAAATATATATGAAAGTAATTACTCCAATTCTCTTAGAGATGTACTCGTTAATATCTAGTGATGTTCCATTTCCAAAAGAGATGATGTTAGCAACAATTATTCCGATTCCTAAGCCAGATAAGGATAATACAATAATTGCTAACTATAGACCAATATCACTAATTGTGGCGAAACCAACCTCGCCACGTGTCCTTGGAGGGGGCTGCTTGCCCGCCTCTTGCCTTTGGACTATGGCCCTGCAGGTTAAACTGTTTATTTTCCCTGCAGAAAGGCTTATTCGTGTGATCTGAGTGCCATTCATCTAATAATGTGCAGTCAGATCCAAGCTATCTGGGGATATGTAGAAATGTGTGTTTTATGTACTAAATGTGTCAGTATGTAATTTTATGTCTTTTACTGTCTTTTTGTCTGCCATGTGGGTAATGGAGTTTGGCTCTGTCTTTGGAGATAATTAGATTCCTTCTCCAATTATCTCCAGGGCAGAAGGGAGGAAGCCAGGATGCATTGTGGGGATGTTTTACTTTTACTGTTTGAGCCAGGGGGAACAAAAGATACTTTTACTAACTTTTGAACCCCTGGTCTGATTCATGCCATTTTTTAATATGTTGTTCCCCTGAATGGATTGATTGTGAATATGTATTTTTATGCGAATGTGATGTATATTTTGGGAGTTATGAATGTTGTGTAAAAACTGTATTTTCCCTACCTATGATAATTGTATTTCCCTGTGTGTACAGATAATTAGTTTACAGGTAGAGGGGAGGGCTATGTGTGGGATGTAACTATTGTGTGATTGGTTAATGTACATTACTGTGTGTGTCCCTCCCCTTCATGGGAGCACCTAATAAAAAGGGCTGCAAGCTAGCAGCCAGGGAGTTCTATTTTTACCCTCAACTTGAGTCCTGTCTCTTATTGGGGGAATCTGCTACAAGGGATTGCTATGCTAGGCATATTCCCTTTCTATAATCACTGAGCTCTTGTAAGAGCTTGTTCCTGCTTCGTTCTGAAGGGAGATAGCTGCAGCCTGCGGTGCTTATGGTGTCTGGTGGAGTGCTTGGAGTCCTCTGGAAGCGCTAGGAGCATCTTTCAACGGAGGTACCCAGTCGGGGTGCCAGGTGATCCGTTACATTGGTGGCAAGCGGCGGGATGGCATCCTAGTGCGAGGAGAAGCAGCTCGGAGACACCGGTAACGTGTGGAGTTGTGCAGCGTCCTTATCTTCAGCAACATAATGGAACCAGCAGTGGCTACAGCAAGCATGGCGTATAGCTACTCCGTACTAGAGTTTGGCACGATGGTAGGGTTGCACCTGAAGTTTTACGGACCCAATCCAGAGGAGAAATACGTGCGGTTCGTGTGGGACATGGTGACCCGGAACCTACAACACAGGGCGTTGAGGGAAGGCCAGTGGGCACGTTGGGAGAAACTCCAGCCACAGGTAGAGAGGGACGAGGAAGAAACCGAGGTGGCCGGTGGAGATGGGACCGAGGTCTCTCTACCGGCCCTACAGGGATGCTGGGCACCCGGCCCAGATCCCCAGCGGCAGTATGTTTTACAGGGAGGGGAGACAGTCGGTCTCACCCCCCAGCGGCAGAATGTGTTATTGGAGGAAGAGACAACCGGTCTCCCTCCCCAACAGCAACCAGAGGTACCCGAGGTAGAGGACCTCATAGACTGGTCCTGGGAGGACCCCCTGCAGGCAGGTGGAGATGGGACCGAGATCTCTCCACTGGCCCTACAGGGATGCTGGGCAACCGGCCCAGATCCCCAACTAGAGCTGGAGTTACAGAAAGTGGAGAGCATCGACCTCCCCCCCCCAGCAGCAGCCGGAGTACCAGGGGGAGGTAAGTGATATTTCTCCTCCCAGCCAACTCCTTTGTTCCCTGACCCCCCAGCAGAAGAGCTGGCAACTGGGCAGAGCGCCGCTGGCCTCTGTCCTCCCTTGTTTCCTTCCCCTGAGCCTGACTTTCTACAGGCTGCCCCAGCGGAAGGTGCCGTCCTTTCTCCCCAGCGGCAGTGCGTACCCCAGGGAGCGGATGGTGTCGTCCGTCCTCCCCAGCAGCAGTGTGTAACCCAGGGAGCCGAAGGTGTCGTCCTTCCTCCCCAGCGGCAGTGTGTACCCCAGGGAGCTGAGGGTGCAATCCTTCCTCTCCAGCGACAGTGTGTACCCCAGGGAGCTGAAGGTGTTGTCCTTCCTCCCCAGCGGCAGTGTGTCCTGCAGGGAGCAGAGACCGTCAGTCTCACACCCCAGCAGCAGGACAAAATAATGAAAGGGGAGACAGCTGGTCCGCCTCTCCACCAGCAGAGAGAGGGTCAGGGAGAGGAGCCTGTTAACCCCTCTCCCCAGCGGCAGTTGACAGTCCAGAGAGAGGAGCTTGTTACACCCTCTCTCCAGCGGCAGCCTAACCCACCAAGGGGAGATGTTGAGCCCCGCAACTGTGCAGATGGGATCGTAGTCTCTGCGCTTACAGCCCAAGGGGTAGAGACGGTCGGTCCTGTTCCCCAGCCCCAGAGCTGTGTACCCAGAGGGGAGACGGTCGGTCTCCCCCTCCCACAACCAGGCTCCAATCAGGCTACTTTGGTGGTAGCGCTGGCACCAGGGCAGAGTACCGCTGGTCTCTGCCCACTCAGCAACCCACCAAGGCAGTCTACCAGCTCCCCACACAGCCGTGGTGAGGCACCTGGACATGGACAAGTTGCTACTTTATCCAGGTGGAGTAAACATTTATTGTGGGTGGGCTGTACTGCTGTTTGTGCTTCGTGGGTGGGTTGCTGGACTAACCAGGGCACTGACCGGCAGGAGGTTAGATACCCTGTTAGTCTGGGGGGCAAAGGGGAGAAGTGTGGCGAAACCAACCTCGCCACGTGTCCTTGGAGGGGGCTGCTTGCCCGCTTCTTGCCTTTGGACTATGGCCCTGCAGGTTAAACTGTTTATTTTCCCTGCAGAAAGGCTTATTCGTGTGATCTGAGTGCCATTCATCTAATAATGTGCAGTCAGATCCAAGCTATCTGGGGATATGTAGAAATGTGTGTTTTATGTACCAAATGTGTCAGTATGTAATTTTATGTCTTTTACTGTCTTTTTGTCTGCCATGTGGGTAATGGAGTTTGGCTCTGTCTTTGGAGATAATTAGATTCCTTCTCCAATTATCTCCAGGGCAGAAGGGAGGAAGCCAGGATGCATTGTGGGGATGTTTTACTTTTACTGTTTGAGCCAGGGGAAACAAAAGATACTTTTACTAACTTTTGAACCCCTGGTCTGATTCATGCCATTTTTTAATATGTTGTTCCCCTGAATGGATTGATTGTTAATATGTATTTTTATGCGAATGTGATGTATATTTTGGGAGTTATGAATGTTGTGTAAAAACTGTATTTTCCCTACCTATGATAATTGTATTTCCCTGTGTGTACAGATAATTAGTTTACAGGTAGAGGGGAGGGCTATGTGTGGGATGTAACTATTGTGTGATTGGTTAATGTACATTACTGTGTGTGTCCCTCCCCTTCATGGGAGCACCTAATAAAAAGGGCTGCAAGCTAGCAGCCAGGGAGTTCTATTTTTACCCTCAACTTGAGTCCTGTCTCTTATTGGGGGAATCTGCTACAAGGGATTGCTATGCTAGGCATATTCCCTTGCTATAATCACTGAGCTCTTGTAAGAGCTTGTTCCTGCTTCGTTCTGAAGGGAGATAGCTGCAGCCTGCGGTGCTTATGGTGTCTGTTGGAGTGCTTGGAGTCCTCTGGAAGCGCTAGGAGCATCTTTCAACGGAGGTACCCAGTCGGGGTGCCAGGTGATCCGTTACACTAATAAATATTGATATTAAAATATTCTCGGCTATATTGGCTAATCGTTTAAAAGAAGTATTGGGAGACTTGATTAATTGGGACCAGTCAGGATTTGTGAAAGGAAGAAGTACCTCTGATAATACAAGGAGGATCTTTAATATACCGTATTTTTCGCTCCATAAGACGCACTTTTTTTCCCCTCAAAAGTGAGGGGAAATGTCTGTGCGTCTTATGGAGCGAATGTAAAGCTTTACTTACCTGTCTTGGAGCGTGGGCCGGCTGCACAGCGGGCTCCGCGGTCCAGGAACTTCTATTTCAGGTTCCGGTTTCCGGCGGGACTGAAAGGAGGTGCACACTCAGTGTGCACACTTCCTTTCAGTCCCGCCGGAAACCGGAACCTGAAATAGAAGTTCCTGGACCGCGGAGCGCGCTGTGCTGCCGGCCCACGCTCCAAGACAGGTAAGTAATTATGGGACAATGGGAGGGGAGACACTATGGGACGAGGGGAGGGGGACACTATGGGTTAAGGGGAGGGGGACACACTATGGGAGAAAGGGAGGGGGAGACACTATGGGAGAAGGGGAGAAGGACACTATGGGAGAAGGGGAGGAGGACACTATGGGAGAAGGGGAGGAGGACACTATGGGAGAAGGGGTGGGGGACACTATGGGTCAAGGGGAGGGGGGCACTATGGGAGAAGGGGAGGGGGCGACACTATGGGAGAAGGGGAGGGGGAGACACTATGGGAGAAGGGGAGGGGGACACTATGGGAGGGAAAGTGCACTATGAAACAATGGGAGGGGGGACACTATGGGATCACTAATGGACAAGGGTAGGAGGGGTTAAAGAACACTATGGGACAGGGAGGAGGGGTTAACAATCACTATGGGACAGAGGAAAGGGGGGTTAAAGATCATTATGGGACAGGGGAGAAAAAAAAATATTCTGAACAAACTGTCCCATAGTAAGAAACACTATGGAACAGTTTGCTCAGAATATTTTTTTTTTCTGGGTTTCCTCCTCTAAAAACTAGGTGCGTCTTATGGTGAGGTGCGTCTTATGGAGCGAAAAATACGGTAATAAATAGAGTGAGCGGACAACAAAGGGAAGCTGTTATTATTGCTTTAGATGCCGAGAAGGCCTTTGACAGAGTCAATTGGAGATTCCTGGACTCTGTCATGGGCCATTTCGGACTGGATGGAGCATTTAGAAATAAAACTTTATCTTTATATAGAAACTCCTCGGCAAGAATTAGCAGCCCCTATTTTGACTCTGATCCCTTCGATATCAAGAATGGAACTAGGCAGGGTTGCCCGTTAGCTCCACTCCTATATATTCTTACAATCGAACCGTTGGCTACGATGATAAGACAGAATGAAAAGATAAAAGGAATAGATTTTCAAGAGGACTATATTAAGATATCTCTGTTTGCAGATGATGTCCTACTTACTCTCGCTGAACCCCTATTATCAATTCCACCGTTACTAGAAGACATCTCTATATATAGTAAATTCTCTAACTATAAGGTCAATATTAATAAATCTCAAGTCCTTCCATTTTTATTGTCTAAGACACAGTTAGAAATTTTGTACTCCCACTTTCATATAGAATATATAAAAGATAAAATTGATTATCTAGGTATAAAGATAACATTTATTACTATAAAGACAATTCTGATAAACTTTGACAATTTATATAAAGATTTACAATCTCAGATACATAAATTGAAGAGATTAGAACCATCTTGGATAGGAAGAGTTAATATTATTAAATCGTATTTAATGCCAAAACTCCTATATTTTTTTAGGATGATTCCATATAATATTGAACGGGGCACTTTGAAGCGCTTCCAAAGTTTATTCTCTAGCTATATATGGCGTGATAAACCACCCAGAATAGCGACGGAGATTTTATGTAGAAGTTACCGGAAAGGGGCTATAGCATTTCCTGATGTGATCAAGATGTATGAGGCAAATAGGTCTTCTCAACTTATGATATGGTTAAATTTGGATCAAAATATATCTAAATCTTGGATTAAAATTGAACAGAAATCAGAACCAGGGCAAAAGCTATACATCCTAGGGTGGCTAGGACTTCTGAATCTGGGGGTTTTGGATACGGAGCAATTTTCTAATATAATCATAAGAGATATGGTGGATTTTGCTAAATATTTGAACACTAAGTTGGACCTTAAAGGAAAATTATTATCTAATACACCTATAGAAATACTTCACTATGCTATGTCAGATATAAATATCAAAATATGGATACATTTTGGAATTAAAAAAAATTGGAAATCTATATGAGGGATCTAAACTGGCGACATTTACACAACTACAATCTAAATATAAATTTTTACCTAGGGAAATATTTGAATACTTAAGGATCAAGAATTTTCTTTTAACTAAAATATTGATTAAAGATCACTATCTTGAACCTTATATTACTTGTAGTCAAAAAAAGGGAGGAATCTCTAGATTTAATAAACTGTTTGATACACTAGACAATGTTATTGATGTATATATACAATAAAAGCGATACACACAAATTCAGCAAAGTGAACAACAGGCTCTAACGCATAAGTGAAGGAATCCCTTAACCTCCACAACGTAAAACATGCAAAACAAACAAAGTATAAGCGGAGCTCTGTATTACCTGTATAAACAATGGTATATTGAAGATGAATATAATATTATGCAAAATAAGAATCTGTAAATAAATGATCACAGATCTAAGTGCAGACAATAGTCACATAATAATTAACATAAAAAAAATATAAAAACTTTTAGGTGGGTAACTCACAAAGGTGGAGCCAATAATACACCTGGCTCTAGTGGTAAGCGCCTGTGGATCTTCTAGGGGAGATCCACTACCCTCTTTCTGTTCCTCCTGATGTCCTCCTCCTTCAATTTTGGTAGGAATGGAAATGCAGACTCCACAGGACGGTATAATGAAAAATTTATTGGTAAAATAGTAAATTAAAACATCTAAAAACAAAATTGGATCAAAGTATTTGCAATGAGTCCAAAATGTCCCCAAAACGCGTTTCGCCAGTTAAACTGGCTTCCTCAGTTGGCATATTCCTCCTGTGACCTCTTTGTACTTTTATATAGTTCTTAAATGATGAAATTGCCGGCATCTGCCGGACCGGAAGTTGGCTTTGTGGAACGCACACCGTCCTGGTTGGAACGCACGTACACGCATGCGTGCGTGCGTCGATCACATGATTGGGCCGTTTCGCTTCCTTCTGCCTCGTTGGAACGCACATGCGTTCCACAGTCTCAAATAATACAAACTAGCCGTTTTGCTTCTATGCCTTTTTCGTGGAACGCACCATCTGCGTTCCATAATCTTTTCTATCATAACAAGAATCCTCAATACTTCCGTCCATACAATCCCAAGAGAAATCAATAGTGATAAATTAATAAAAAAAAAGGGATAAACTAAACTATACATTATAGCATAAAAAAAAATAAAACATTCCAGTTAGTGTGAAAATAAGTAACCACCATTGCTTCTATATGTGCATAGTGATGATGGTGTGCTCTTAAAATACTTGTATAAAAAACTGGAAGGGTGAGAGGAACATGTATAGAAATAGAGGTTAACTAATAACTATGATAATTAACTCTTACTATTATAAAAAGTGGCATAATTCAAAGTCTAAGTTTAATCCATAAGTAATTAATAGTAATTAACTCTTACTATTATAAAAAGTGGCATAATTCAAAGTCTAAGTTTAATCCATAAGGGACCATAGTATTAAAATTGAAAATAAAAGACATTTCTTCCATCCCAATTCTCTTTATAAAATCTCCACCCCTCCAATTTTTTTTTGACCAATTTGAGTGCACAAAAGGCAAGACCTTGTGGATTTTGGTGATGGTACTGTTTAAAGTGTTGGGAAACACTATGTGTATCTACTCCTTTTTTAATATTCCTCACATGTTCTGAAATTCTGATATGGAGACATCTGATAGTTCTCCCTATATACATTTTATTACATGGACAGATTAATAAATAAATGATATTTTTGGAGAAACATGTCAGCAGGTCTTTTATTATAAACTCTTTATTGGTAATTTCTTTTGTATTTTTTATATGTCTTTTTATACTTTTAGTCTCCCTACATGCCAAACATGTTCCACACCCATAAAATCCTTTATTCTTTGTTAAGAAATTTTCATTTTCAACTTGATGATTTTTTAGATTGCTATTTACTAAAAATTTTTTTATATTTCTGCATCCCCTATGGACAATTTTAGGTCTCTCCGGTAGTATTTCTTTTAGAATAGGATCGTCTTGTAATAAGTGCCAATATTTATTAATGGCATACCGCACCTTCTTATTATTGGCCGAGAAATTACAAATAAAGGGGATGTTACATTTATTATTCTCTATTTTCGCTTTTTTCTTTTTATATATTAGCAATTCCTTTCGTTCTAATCTTTTTATTTCTTCTATACCCTTTTGAAGGTCCTCTTTTTTATATCCCTTTTCCAAGAATTGATTTTTAATAACTTGTGTTTGTTGTAAAAAATCATCATCTTTTGTGCAATTTCTTTTTAGTCTCATGAACTGGCTCTTGGGTGCATTCGTGAGCCACGGAGTATGATGGCAACTAGTGAGATCAATATAACCATTGCAGTCTACCTCTTTAAAAAAATTATTGGTAAAAATGTTCCCTTCTTCTATAAAAATAGTAAGATCTAGAAAATTAATTGCCACTTTACTTTGTACAGAGGTAAGACAAATACCCCAATCATTACAATTTAAAAAACTTAAAAAATTAGTCAATTTAAGATCATCTCCCTTCCAAATAAAAAATATATCATCAATGTATCGGCGATAGGTGACCAAGTCCGCAAAAAATTCACTATGTAAAATAAACATTTCTTCCCAATACGCCATAAAAAGATTTGCGTAACTGGGTGCGAACTTGGTCCCCATCGCCGTTCCATTGATTTGTAGATAAAAACTCTCTTTGAACCAAAAAAAATTATTGGTCAAAATTAAAAGTATACCCTCTTTAATAAAATCTATTTGATTTTGTTTAAAATTCGATTTATCTAAAAAATGTTGTACTGCCTCTATTCCCTTTGTATGTGGGATTATGCTGTAGAGCGAGCTTACATCACATGTAACCAATATATAATTCTCTTCCCATTTAATCTCTTCTAAAATTTGTAAAACATGTATTGTGTCTTTAAGGTACGTTGGATTCTTAGTTACTACCGGTTGAAGAAGAACATCTATATACTCTGAAACTCTCGATGAGATACTTTCTACCCCAGAGATTATAGGTCTACCTGGTGGGTTGATTAAATTTTAATGCATCTTTGGTAAACAATAAAATACTGGAATCTGAGGATTAGGAATAGTCAGGTATTTGGCTTCTGCTTCTGTTAAAATGTCGTTATCTAATCCTTTATTAACATATTCTTTAAACTTCGTTATGATCTCTTGACTCGGATTACATGTTAATTTCTTATATGTTTTGACATCTGACAGTAACCTCTCTGCTTCCCCTACCTATTTTTCTTTGGACAGAACAACTACTCCTCCCCCCTTATCTGCAGGTTTTATAATTAAATTATCATCTTTTTGTAACTTCTTTAATGTTTTGGTCTCTGCTAGTGTAAGATTTTTTTGATACTTATTCGTATGTTTGATTTTCTTAACCTCTTTCATAATCATAGTTTCAAAGGTTTTAATTTCACTTGAAATCATGTTTCTTGGGAAAAATTTTGATTTTTCTTTCAATTGCTATGAATATATGGGGAGGTGGTGTTAATTTCTACTGTGTCTCTATTGTGAAAGAATTTCTTTAAGCATAATTGTCGAGTAAAGCGGTTTAGGTCTATAAAGAATTCAAAAGGTCTAAAGTCTGCAGACGGAGCAAACTTAAGTCCCTTTTGTAATATCTTTAATTCATCTTGACCCAGTTCTTTATCTGAGAGATTAAATATCCCCTTATGATCTATATCCGTCCTCGCTTCTCTCTGTTGTGGTTTCTTTCGTCTTCTACCTCTCCCTCTTCCCACGATCTTCTCCTTTTGCCCGGAGAGTCCCATTCCCGTGATTCCTGAAGTAGTTTGCATCTGGATTTGGTTGGGCTCTTGCGAAAAGGAGAAGATATAGGGGAGGTGTTTCTATGTTCCAATATCTGAAAACGATTATAGGTGGATATACTATGATCTCTATCTATAGACGGTTTGCGTCTGTCCATACGGAACCCATTTTTATTCTGTGGGAGATTTCTATTCTGCAAATTTCTTACTGGACTTGCAACTGCTCTACTATAGCTTCTAACATTGTTTTCTCTTCTTTCTTCTTGTCTAATCGGATTAGACTTATGTGTGGTGGTTACAACATTGTAGTCTTTAACTCTATCTTCTTGTTTTTTATCCTCTTTGATTGCATAAGATCTTTGATAATGTATGTGATTTTTCCTTCCTCCAATATCCCTATATGGATAGTTCTTTAATTTGTTGCTTGTCTGATATTGGTATCTCTGTGAACCTCTATCTTCTGTGTTCCTATGTCTAAATGTTTTCGTTTGATAATGTTCCCATTGACTTGGAGAACGTGCTCTTGTCTGTTTTCTCTGGTAACTAGGTGTCCTCCCTCTATTGCGTTGATTGGATTTATTCCAATTGGCCTGTTTACGATTATTACTTCTTACATTTCCTGTTTTATAGTCTTCCAGATCCCTTAAGTATTTGTGTTTCTTTGTTTCTATAACTTCTCTCTCTGTTTTATCTATTCTCTTTTTCATATCTAATATTATCTCATTGAATATTTCAGGACTGGTGGTTTCGCTTAAACCTTCTCTGAATTTCTTTATATCCTCATCTAATTTTATGAGATTTTCTTCTCGTCTTGCTACAATGTACCCTATGAGGCTAAATGAGAATCCATCCAATAATTTGTTCCATCCCTCCATAAAAAACTGATCCTCACGATCAAAGGAGGGGTCCTTATTAATTTATCACTATTGATTTCTCTTGGGATTGTATGGACTGAAGTATTGAGGATTCTTGTTATGATAGAAAAGATTATGGAACGCAGATGGTGCGTTCCACGAAAAAGGCGTAGAAGCAAAACGGCTAGTTTGTATTATTTGAGACTGTGGAACGCATGTGCGTTCCAACGAGGAAGAAGGAAGCGAAACGGCCCAATCATGTGATCGACGCACGCACGCACGCACGCACGTTCCAACCAGGACGGCGTGCGTTCCACAAAGCCAACTTCCGGTCCGGCAGATGCCGGCAATTTCATCATTTAAGAACTATATAAAAGTACAAAGAGGTCACAGGAGGAATATGCCAACTGAGGAAGCCAGTTTAACTGGCGAAACGCGTTTTGGGGACATTTTGGACTCACTGCAAATACTTTGATCCAATTTTGTTTTTAGATGTTTTAATTTACTATTTTACCAATAAATTTTTCATTATACCGTCCTGTGGAGTCTGCATTTCCATTCCTACCAAAATTGAAGGAGGAGGACATCAGGAGGAACAGAAAGAGGGTAGTGGATCCCCTAGAAGATCCACAGGCGCTTACCACTAGAGCCAGGTGTATTATTGGCTCCACCTTTGTGAGTTACCCACCTAAAAGTTTTTATATTTTTTTAATGTTAATTATTATGTGACTATTGTCTGCACTTAGATCTGTGATCATTTATTTACAGATTCTTATTTTGCATAATATTATATTCATCTTCAATATACCATTGTTTATACAGGTAATACAGAGCTCCGCTTATACTTTGTTTGTTTTGAATGTTATTGATGTGCCTCCATTTGGTAAATGGGAGAGGGATATGGGGAAATCCCTCCCACTGATAGATTGGACAAATGCTACAATGTTAGTAAAACAAAGTATACATAATATATCCTTACTCGAAACACACTTAAAGATCATCTATAGGTGGTATATGGTCCCGGTTAGACTCCATAAAATATCTCCATTTTACTCAAAAGAATGTTGGAGATGTAGAAGAGAAGAGGGTACCATGCTCCATATATGGTGGGCTTGTACGGGTCTGAATAATATCAAGACCCAAATGTTAGGCTTAATGAAAAGTATCTTTAAGGAGATTGTTGTAATTAGTCCCGAAATGTTTTTGTTTAACATGGATTATAAAACATCTGATAAACAACAAAAATATATTATGACACACATATTCTTTGCAATAAAAATCAATATTGCTAGAGCATGGAAATCTCCTAATCCACCACTTTGGCAAGAAATAATGGATCAAATAAGGTTCCAATATAAGATGGAATCTTCAACTAAAGATTTGAGAGAGCTATGGCTACCCTGGACTTCCAAATTTCCTATATAATAACGAATTGTTAGTTTGGGACCCATCCCATACCGAGTTTCATATATGAGTGTTTTTTTTGTTTGTTTTTTTTTCTCTGTTGTGAACTATATATAATGTTATGGATAATCAAATGAATATATATTAATGTAGTAATATTAATGTTGTAATATTGAAATTTGTATAATTTGTATAACTATTGTATATTTGATATATATAAAAGAAAAGAAAAACATTTATAAATAAAATAAATAATAGAAAAAGCCCTAACCTGAACCCCATAAGCAGGCAAGCATGTGGGATGGTACGCAGTGACAGCGTTCCGTCACACCCCTTCCTTCCCTGCTCCCCCAATTCAATACACTGCCTTCCCTCCCCCTCAAACAATTCAATACACTGCCCTCCCTTCCTTGTTCCCCCAATTCAATACACTGTTTCCTTTGTTGTGTTCAGGAGTACCGCCACAAACGGGAGTCCGTTTACCTCCCGAACGGGGTGGGTTTAGAACGTTCACACCTCATAATGAGGTGTCAAATCCGCAAACCGCAAGAGAAGCCTTGGCGCGTGCCTCCCCTGGGTGGCAGCCCATTCCTTAGATGAACGCCATCCAGGGGGGGCATTCGCTGATTGTTTCCCACCTCGTTCGGATCCCGAACGAGGACCTCCCCGGCACGACTTGGAATGTTCAGACCAATCAATTAGAACGTTGGCAACTTGCAACATAGTGTGAAACCGCAAGGGAAGTGATTAATGAGTGCTTCTCAGGGTGGCTATTCATTCATGCCCCGAAAGGAGACACTTCCCTTGCCTGGTTCCACACAGAAACCCCATGAACTGTGGCTGTTCATGGCGGTTACCGGTCTGGGGGTCCCTGAGATTGGTGGGGACATCCTTTGGGGACAATGGTGGAGGTCTATGTCACTGGGGGACAAAGAGGCAGGAGGTTTCCCATGCTACGACCCCCAGATACAGAGACTTCTGGGAAGGGATACTTAGTGGCGGGAACAGGGTACAAAGAGACTGGGGTTCCGTTTCCGTTATACGACCCCCGGACATTGTCTTCATGTGTGTTCCACCCCTTGCATGGGGAAAGTATAAAGCCGCGTGTGGCCAATAAAGGTGTTGTTGTACACCTGGAACTGTGTGTCGTCCAGTTACTGGGAGGGAAATGGGTCTGTTCAATTAATAATAGCGGAGGTAACCAGCCGGGTTACCCAGGGTCCGCTACATTGCCCTCCTGCTCGCCCAATTCAATACAGTGCCCACACTCTCCCCTCATCCTCCCCAATTCAATACACTGCTCTCCCTCCCCTCATCCTCCCTCAATTCAATACACTGCCCTCCCCTCATCCTCCCCAATTCAATACACTGCCAACCCTCCCCTCATCCTTCCCCAATTCAATACACTGCCCTCCCCTCATCCTCCCCAATTCAATACACTGCCAACCCTCCCCCAATTCAATACACTGCCCTCCCTCTCCTGCTCCCCCAATTCAATGCAGTGCAATCCTCCCCCAATTCAATACACTGCCCTCTCTCTCCCCTTATCCTCTCCCAATTTAATACACTGCCCTCCCTCCTCATCCTCCCCCAATTCAATACACTGCCATCCCTCAATTCAATACACGGCTCTCCCTTCCCTCATCCTCTCCAATTCAATACATGCCCGTTGTGGCGGACCGCCTGGTACACAGCCTGGGTACCTTTGCCAAACACACTTCTTAGTGATCACCGAGGTACCATAAGCACTTCACCCGGACACCACAAGCACTTCCAGTCCCTAGGCGCCGCAACTTGACTGGGGTCTCGCCGCCTATTCCCACCCTGGACCCAAGCCCTGGATCCAGCTCCCAGAGAGTATAGCAGGTACTGCAAGTAAATAGAGCAGTATAGTTGTTCCCCCCACACATTAGCCGAGACTTAATGCTGGGAGTAGACTTTATGTCTTTATTGTGTCTTTATTCAGGGCCACACACGGCCTTCATATGCAAAGTTCCCTGCAAGGGGTTTCCAACACAACATTATAGGGTCATCCCTCCCATGATCCTCTGTGCCTGAGAGAGAATTCAGTTCCCTCTCAGGTACAAAGAAATCAACTTATGCAAAAGCCCCATGCAAGGCGTTTCCAACCCAACCCCCCAGGGAAATCCCTCCCATGATCCTCTGTGCATAAGAGGCAATCCAGTCCCTTCTCAGGTACAGAGAAATCCTTTTATCTTGTCACAAATGGTTTGTTAGGCACAGACCCCTACATGGGGTCTACAACACAATGCGACAGGAAAAGGAAGGGAGAGGGGGAGAGACACAGACAAGCAATACATTGTTAAAAAGCCCTAACCTGAACCCCATAAGCAGGCAAGCATGTGGCATGGTACGCAGTGACAGCGTTCCGTCACACCCCTTCCTTCCCTGCTCCCCCAATTCAATACACTGCCTTCCCTCCCCCTCAAACAATTCAATACACTGCCCTCCCTTCCTTGTTCCCCCAATTCAATACTCTGCCCTCACTTCCCCTTTCCTCCGGCTGATTACCTCCGTTACTTCTCGGCTTCCTATGCTATTTTTGGACCATCCAATATCACTTTGCTGAGCCGAAGTATTTGGTTCCATTAGGAGTGCTCAGGATCTGAGCAGCATTTGGAGGTTAAATATAGCAAATGATTACTGCATACCATGAGTCGAGACTACATGTAGGGGTTAAACCGAACTGACTTTATTGCATCTGTGCAGAGGTAGTTATTCCCACATTGGGTCATTTACATACAATAGGGTAATTAACAGTACACGTTTCCTCTTCCTTTGTTTTTCTTGCTGTAAACAATTCTCAGCCCCACCAAAACTCAGCTCCATTTTATCCATATAATTCAAACAACATGAAACAACAAATGGCCTTGTAAAATTCCTACCCAAGCAAGAAGAACCCCTATCCTGCAACCCTGGGTCCATGGCAAACACCTATTATATATCTTGGCTAGGCCACGTAAACGCAGTAAAAATTACTACTGCCTAAATTTTTATGTGTATTAAATGGTGCCCATTATGTTTTCACAAACCTTCTTTAAGATGGTCAAAATTTAATATCAAGAAGTCCATCTGGAATGGTAGATCACCGCAAGTGCACACTCCCAACTGACTCTTCCCAACCTTCGATGTGGACTAGACCTGCTTGAAACTGAAAAATACTACTTAGCGGACCTATGGAGATAGTGACCTCGCCACTGGTTTTTGGCAGCCTCTTGTCCTGTGACTATGGCCCCTGGGGTGTATTGCCTTTTAAAAACACTATGTGCATATTGGGACTTAGCACAATGCCCCTTTAAACTTTCAAAGTGGTCGAAGTGGAACTTCGAACTACCGAACAGCCGGACCACACACAAGTGGAGTGTGCAGCCAATATACCTCCCAGGCTGGGAGCAAATTGACGAACGGCTAGGTGGTCGCCGTTCGTTTAGTCGAACATGTTCAGTGGTGTTTTGTCATCGAGTTCATGGAACTCAAATCGGACATGTGACGGCACGAACACTGCTGAACTTTACCTTCTCCGGAACTTCGACAGGAGTCGAACAGCATTTGACAATTCGAACGGCACTATGACATTGACGATGTGCACGAACGGGTGCCATCGAAGTGAACTTAGACACTGAAAATAGACCGGCCGCACAGCCTAATTCTCTGGAACTGTTTTGGGCATGAAAATGTGCGTGCGTGCGGTCGGTCAAAAGAGACTTTCAGGAATTTCCTGAACCCCTGCTCTGATCTGGGTGATTTTTGGATATGTTGTTCACCCATATCAGGGCTATCCAGGGATAATTTATGGGGATATGTTGGAGTTTTGGGGTGTTTCTGTACTTTGGGTAAAAATGTGTGTTTTCTGCCTGTGGATAATTAAGTTAGTACATTAGCTACCTTAATTATATCACAGGCAGAGGGGAGGGATTGCTGATTGTATGTGGGAATGTTACAGTGCTAATTATTGTTCCCCTTGGTTTATGTTCCATTTGTCCCTGTTTTCCATCAGGTTCAGGGGGTATGCCTCTGGTCTGAAAAACTGTATATATTCCAGGCTGTGGCAATAAACCTTCAGTTCTACTTCACCTCAATCTAGAGTCCTGTCTCTTATTGGGGGGAATCTGCTACAAGGGATTGCTATGCTCTTCATACTCCCTTGAATAATCACTAAGCTCTTGTTAGAGTTTGCTCCTGTTCTTGCTTCACTCTCTGGGGAAAGAGAGGTTCACCCACTGGAACCTTGTCGTAGGTCCAGGATGGGTAGGAGAGAGCGAGACCCCAACCAAGCTGCGGCGGTTCGTGGGGTCTGGAGTGCTTATGGTGTCAAGTGGAGTGCTTGGAGCCCTCGGAAAGCACTAGGAGCCCTCGGAAAGCACTAGGAGTATACGTCAACGGAGGTACCCAGTCTAGGTGATCCTCAGCTAGACGATTAACGTAGTGGAAATGGATTCAGCTAGAATCAGACAGCATACACTTGGATCTTTGATCCGATGTATTAAAGAGGGGAGGGAAGCCGGGCTGCAGCCCCCAAGCCATTTGTGAAAACGACTGACCCTCTGGCACCGATATGGTCTCAAGCATTATCTGACTACAGAACCGAGCCCACTGCTCCCATTGAAAGGCAACCATGACTTCCCGACCAGCATACAGAGCACCAGTGGGAAATTGTTGGAATTTCCATCCCCGAGTGAGAGACATACTGGGGCAGGGGGGAGCAGTTCAATCGGTGGCAGAACTCTTACCTGATACGAATCAAACGCTACTCCACTCAATGGCAATGATGCAGATTGCCCGATACATTTCATCAATACCACTGAAACCATGTGACCGGTTTTGAGAATATGTGCTTGAAAGACTCAATGGCTCCCAAAAGCATCTCAGCAATCTATAATGTGCTGGGGGCGAATTGCTACTTGTTACCACCTCCGTGTATATCGGAACTGGGAGGAAGACCTCCAGCAGATGTTTACAGAGACGGAATGGGACAAGATGCTTGTTTTAATTTAAGAAAAATCACTGTTGTTAGCACGTGTGCAGGAAAATTCGTACACAATCCTCTCAAGATGGTAACTGACCCCAACTGCTTCACACAGGCATGACCCAACTGTGCCAGATTTCTGTTGGCGCTGTAGGGAAGAACGAGGAACACTCATTCACATCTGTAGGTCATGGAAGGTGGTTGGCCCTGTAATGGAGAAATTGCAGGAAGAACCTTCGACCTATGGAGCCGGCGACCTTCCGCCGGTGAAATTGCATGTAACACTGCATGTCTGTTTATTCCTTACTTGGGATATGTTTAATGTTGATGGATTAGCATGGTGATTCATACACCCATTACAACTCACCAATTATGGGATACTTTGTATCAGTTACTTGTTCTTAAAAGATGGTACTGCTTTACATGTCATTTCTCCTTTGAGAAGGGAACCATGTGTTGCATGCAATGGTTGGATTAATAAAAACTAATTTAATACAAATTCTCCAGTTCTCAATCAAATTGAGCATCTGTGGGATGTGCTGAAAAAACAAATCTGATCAATGGAGGCCCCAAATTGTAACTTGCAGGACTTTATGGACCTACTGTGAATGTCTTGGTGCCAGATACCACAGGACATGTACCGAGGTCTTGTGGAGTCCATGCCTTGATGCATCATTTTGCGGTTTTGGCAGCACAAGGGAGACCTATACAATATTACACAGGTGGTTTTAATGTTGTGGCTCATCAGTGTAAGACTAAACTGGACCAAATAACTGTATATAATGCTAAAATGGATAGAATCACGGTGTATAATACTAAACTGGACTGGAGGGAGATATTATTGGTGGAGATAGCCTGAGCATGGCTGATTTGGGATAGTGAGACGAATTAATGGTGGTGAAAGTAAAAGTAATGCCAATTTGGCATAATGGAAGGGCTTATTGGTGGAGACAGTCAGTAGTAGGCTGATTTTGGGATAGTGGAAGAGGTTGTAGGTGGATACAGCCAGCAGGAAGCTGATTTGGGATGGATGACACAATCAGTAGTAGACTGATTTTGGGATAGTGGAAGAGATTGTAGGTGGATACAGCCAGCAGGAAGCTGATTTGGGATGGATGGAGGGATTACAGGATGACACAATCAGTAGTAGGCTGATTTTGGGATAGTGGAAGAGATTGTAGGTGGATACAACCAGCAGGAAGCTGATTTGGGATGGATGGAGGGATTACAGGATGACACAATCAGTAGTAGGCTGCTTTTGGGATAGTGGAAGAGATTGTAGGAGGATACAGTCAGCAGAAAGCTAATTTGGGACGGTGTGAGAGCACAGGTGGACACAGTCAGTATTAGACTGATTTGGGATGGTGGGATATATAAGTGTCAGGTCTGCTCACAGAGGAGGACTATCAGTAGTATGACTCAAACATTTTTGGGAATATCTCATAATTGTTACCTGTTTATCACTGGAGCGAGGGGGTGGTGGTATTTGACTGACTGGTACACATCCCTGTGCCCATGATTCACTAGGAGAAGGATGGGGTTCTTGGTGGTCTTGCCAAGTTATATCCATTTCCAGGTTGTTTTCTCCTTCATCTCTAGGAACAAATGTCCATTCAACAATCTGTATCATTGCATTTTTGGCTTGGCTAATGGTGTACGGAATCATCTGAAACGAATGACAATTAATGGCATATTAGTGGGCTATTTATACACCATAAACACTAATGGTTATGAAGCAGCCCCACACAGGGAGAAATGCCAGCTTCTGGACGATTCTGCCAGCGCTATAGAGGAAAGTATCAGTAACAAAGAACATCGGAGCAGAGACATAACAGTTCAGAACAAGGGACATGTTCATATCTTGCCCATGAAGATGCCATTTACCTGCCGACCCAGGTAAACCTTGTGGCACTGGTCCATCACACGTTTCAGTACAGAGTCCAGAATCTCTAACACACATTTTTCTCCATCTTGCCCAGTAACCACAGATACCCAGTCCTCCTCCGTGAGACGACCTGGCACTATCTCCACGGTAACTGGGGGCTGCACGGGTACTGCTGTCATACGGGACTTCTCTGCACGAGACTTGGATGTTCTATGCATGGACTGTAAGAGATATAGACAGATAAGTGTTTATAAAACATTAGACATTATTATTACTGCTTTTCTTATTCCATGTTATCATTACTTCTATTATAATATTATAACTGCTGGTTTCCTTATCCCATGTCATTATTCCTGCTATTATTATTACTGCTACTATTATTACTGTTATAATATACAAACATAGAATGTGACGGAAGATAAGAACCATTCTGCCCATCTAGTCTGCCCAATATTTCAAAATACTTCAATAAGTCCCTGGCCTTATGCCTATCACACTCATGCTTAAACTCCCTCACTTCAGCTCGAAGGCTATTTCATGCATCCACTATTCTCTCAGTAAAGTCCTCTTGTTGTGGTCGTTTTTCTTTTTAATATAGTCTCCTCTATTACTGTGTTGATTTATGCATTTAAATGTTTCTATCATATCCCACCTGTCTCGTCTTTCCTCCAAGCTATACATGCTAAGATCCTTTAATCTTTCCTGGTAAGTTGTATCCTGCAATCCATGAACCAGTTTAGTAGCCCTTCTCTGAACTCTCTCTAAGGTATCAATATCCTTCTGAAGATACGGTCTCCAGTACTGCATACAATACACCAAGTGAGGTCTCACCAGTGTTCTGTACAGTGGCATGAGCACTTCCCTCTTTCTACTGCTAATACCTCTCCCTATACAACCAAGCATTCTGCTAGCATTTCCTGCTGCTCTATTACATTGTCTGCCTACCTTAAGTCATCAGAAATAATCACCCCTAAATCCCTTTCCTCATATGTTGAGGTTAGGACTCTATCAAATATTCTGTACTCTGCCCTTGGGTTTTTACGTCCAAGATGCATTATCTTGCACTTATCCACATTAAATGTCAGTTGCCACAATTCTGACCATTTTTCTAGTTTACCTAAATCATTTGCCATTTGGCTTATCCCTCCTGGAACATCAACCCTGTTACATATCTTAGTATCATCAGCAAAAATACATACCTTACCATCAAGACCTTCTGCAATATCACTAATAAAAATATTAAAGAGAATGGGTCCAAGTACAGATCCCTGAGGTACCCCACTGGTGACGAGCCCAAGCTTTGAATATACTCCATTGACTACAACCCTCTGTTGCCTCTCAACTGCCTTACCCATTCAACAATATTGGAATCCAAACTTAAAGGGGCACTGTAGGCATCCAGACCACTTCAGCCCATTCAAGTGGTCTGGGTGCAAGCTCCCATCACCCTTAACCCTGAGATGTAATTATTGCAGTTTGGAAAAACTGCAATAATTACCTGCAATGGTTTACTCCTCCTCTAGTGGCTGTCTACCAGACAGCCACCAGAGGGACTTCTGGGTGGATAGGCGACTGTTGTCACCTAAACTACGCTGGATGTCCTCACATAATGCATGAGGACTTCCAGTGCCAATGGAATCCCCATAGGAAAGCATTGAATAATAGGCCTTGACAGAGGGGGAAGCTATAGTGCCAGGAAAACGAGTTTGTTTTCCTGGCACTATAGTTTCCTTTTAAAGATTCCAGTTTATTGATAAGCCTTCTATGTGCAACAGTGTCAAAAAAAAAACAGTGTCTATTTACTCTATATACCTGTATTCAATATTTACTCAAAATGGCGGCTAGAGCAACCCCTCCCCACGACTAACTACCTCGTGTAACAAGATAGCGCCTGTATCCGGAGTAAAATCCCGGGAAGATGGTGACATCACGCCTTTTAGGATGTACATTAGATAAAACACAACCAATTAAAGATGTATTCTTACTGTTATCTACAGTTTTGCATATGATGTATTCTTGTCTTTATAAGGGGCTCCTAAGTAAAGATTACGAAGATTTTCATTAACCTGCAAACTTGTGTATGGTGTGATTTACTTCAGAGCGTGCACGCAATTATTTTTAATAATTTGGACAGGGGCAGATATTCAAATAATTGAACACTTGTTTTGATCCACAACATCCTTATCCCACTGTTGCAGGGAAACACTGAGGAAGCCACGCACAGAGAGTCCCGGACACAGGTCTTTTCAGGAAGTAAAGGTCTTTATTCTCACTGATCAGGTCTCAGCTGAACTCCTGTTCAAAATGTCTGATCCCTGAGCACATGGAGTAGAGGCTTTTTATAAGCTATGCATCCCCCATCTGTACCCTTACACCAATCTGCAAACAGGATACACAGGATCACCTTATATGGACAGGCAACGGCCCTTTTAGGAGAATGGAATGTGGTTTCAGTTCTTGCACATGCTCAGTACATTAATGACGGTATCTTAGCTACATGTAACTAACAGATACAACAGATACCTGTACTTCTAAATGCCATGTGGAGATTTTAGGCCTACTTAATTTTGGGCCTAGCTGAAATCCCCTCACACCATATCATTATTACTGTTATTATTATTACTATTACTGCTATTAATATTACTGCTATAATATTATTACTGCTTTTATGGTTATTAATATTATTACTACTATCTGACTGACTGTGTCACCCTGCAGTGGGAGGGACAGACTCTGTGTCCCATAGCTCCTACTGTCTGTGTCACCCTGCAGTGGGAGGGACAGACTCTGTGTCCCATAGTTCCTTCTGTCTGTGTCACCCTGCAGTGGGAGGGACAGACTCCGTGTCCCATAGCTCCTTCTGTCTGTGTCACCCTGCAGTGGGAGGGACAGACTCCGTGTCCCATAGCTCCCTTCTGTCTGTGTCACCCTGCAGTGGGAGGGACAGACTCCGTGTCCCATAGCTCCTTCTGTCTGTGTCACCCTGCAGTGGGAGGGACAGACTCCGTGTCCCATAGCTCCTTCTGTCTGTGTCACCCTGCAGTGGGAGGGACAGACTCCGTGTCCCATAGCTCCTTCTGTCTGTGTCACCCTGCAGTGGGAGGGACAGACTCCGTGTCCCATAGCTCCTTCTGTCTGTGTCACCCTGCAGTGGGAGGGACAGATTCCGTATCCCATAGCTCCTTCTGTCTGTGTCACCCTGCAGTGGGAGAGACAGACTTCGTATCTCATTGCTCCCTTCTGTCTGTGTCACCCTGCAGTTGGATTCATATCCCCAGTCTATGTCATAGCCTTCAGCGAGATTTCATAGAATACATTAACGTCACCTTACCTGAGTTGTGCCTTCTCGCCCAGCTTTTGGGCCAGACGAGGCTTTACTCATTGTAGCAGGGAGGGTTGAAATTCAGACAGATGACTGCGTGACCTGTAAACAAAGTGAAAAACATACAGACACAAATGCTTAATTATTGATCTACATATTGTGTCTAAATCTTATAACAATAAAGAGAATACACCCACGCTCAAGGAATAGTGAAAACAAGTGGTCCTGCACACAGCGGAGTTCCATTTAAACCAAAACCACTTAAGCTTAAAGGTTTAGTCCAACTACTTCAGTGCTTTGAAGTGGCCATGGTGGTAGCAGTCAGTAAGTGCAGTGTTTTATACAGAGTTTATTTTATTTATGTGCTCGAGGCTAGTTGCACCCCCAGCACATGTGATACTGGCAGTCCAGAACTCTGTACCGTGCTGCCTAATGTCAGTATTTTGCGTCTGTTAGCATGCTGGCAACAGATGTGGGTCTCTCGACTCCCTCCTCTTGTATTGCTTTATTTTAAATGCATATAAATATTATATATATTTTTAAAATATATTTATTAAATTAACCCTCCCACCCTCCTCGGCTCCGACTGCACTCAGAGAACCCTGTGATTGGACCGCACGTGGCCCATATGATGTCAGACGGAGAAGCTTCGCTCTGTGCTGGATTCCTGGTGAGTAAAATGTTTGTTTTTGCAAAGTTTGTAGTGCCCAAAAGAACATATTACACTGAAAAGGTCCCCCCTCCTCAAAGAGGATGGAGTAACTATTTAATTAAGTTTTGGTGTAAAGATCATGTCCCTGCAGTCTCACTGCTCAATACTCTGCCATTTAGGAGTTAAATCACTTTGTTTATACAGCCCTGGTCATACCTTCCTGTATGTGACTTACACAGCTTTCCTAAACATGTCCTGTAAAGTGACATCTAATGTTTACACTTCCTTTATCGCACCTTCTGTTTAATTTATAATTTTATATCCTGCTCTGTTAATAGCTTACCTGCAGGAGTCTCCTGTGTGTGATGAAAGTTCAATTTAAAGAGATAAATATTTCTAAAGCAAATGAATGAAAATTAAACCATTTTGTTTCATGCAGGATGTTTCATTCACAGCAATGGGAGGTGTGACTAGGGCTGCATAAACAGAAACAAAAGTGATTTAAAGGGACACTATAGTCACCAGAACAACTACAGCTTATTGAATTTGTTCTGGTGAGTAGAATCATTACCGTCAGGCTTTTTGCTGTAAACACTGTCTTTTCAGAGAAAATGCAGTGTTTACATTACAGCCTAGTGATAACTTCACTGGCCACTCTTCAGATGGCTGTTAGATATCCTTCCTTGGTCATGGCTGCCTAAAATGCATCCAAACATTCAATATCTCCTCCCTCTGCATGCAGACACTGAACTTTTCTCATTCATTGATTCAATTCATCTCTATGAGGAGATGCTGATTGACCAGGGCTGTGTTTGAATCATGTTGGCTCTGCCCCTGATCTGCCTTCTTGTCAGTCTCAGCCAATCCTATGGGGAAGCATTGTGATTGGATCAGGCCACCTCTTCTGATGTTATCAGACTGCTTGTTTTTCTGAGTTTAACAGCATGCAGAGTTACAGCTTCAGGCTTGAATACAGTATGATTTTGCTATTTTTAGGGAGGCATGAGGGGCCCGGGGGGGCTAGATGGTGGTTTTAACCCTATAGGGTCAGGAATACATGTTTGCGTTCCTGACCCTATAGTGATCCTTTAAAGGGATACAATAAGTGCCAGGAATACAAAGCTTTATGTGAAAGTGTGAAGGCACCCCAGGTATGAGAAGGGGTTAACGCTGCCAAAGCTGTTCTTTTTCCCGAATGCGAAGTCAGCTACCGAGCACTCCTAAGCGCTGAACAGGAATCATACAAATTATCCCCCCAAGCACGAGATGAGGCTCTGTATTGAGAGTTAAGCAGGATCTGTTTAATGGTGGCCACATGCTAGCCTTTTATGCAGGTCTTCCAGCAAGGGACACTTCCATAGGGACCTTGTGGAAGACAGACATTTTTACAGTGACCAATCATATGCATTTACAGTATACAAACACTCCCACACAAACAGTGCAACTGCTCCTCTCTATCCTGGAGATAATTGGGTTAAGAGCCATGAAGTAACTCAATTATCTCCATGTATAGAGAATATCACCTATTTTACAATAACAGAAAAACATATAAAAATACATAAGCTTTATTTTACCGAGCGGAACCCCCACGTTTGATAGCTTGGATCTGAGCGCTCAATATAACCGAACAGCGCTCAGATCCCATACATACAGTTACGTTCGTAGATTGTCAATATACCGAACGACACGGCGTTCGTATGAACTAGAACGAAGAGATGGATGTTTGGTGATCTCAGCGGTGTTTGTGGGAAACAGTGTCCAAAATTAGCTCCATGTAGTTGTCGAAGAAACACCGCTGGGCGTTCGACTATCCAAGATGGCGAATGCCACGTGTTCGTTCATACGAATGACGACAACCCAGTCGATCATTCGGGAGTTGGAAGTGGCTGCGGTTAACCACAATGTTAAGGTCAAAAAGGTTAACGAGCAGCACACTTCCCTGCTGGGTGGCCCGCCATTCAGTAGTTCATTCGTCTTTTAGGGAGTGTAATCAGGGAACACACAAACAACCGGGGACTGGCGAACAAACAGAAAAAATAGTCTAAGATAACAATGCAGAGCCAGAAGGGATAACCCCATCACCATTCGGCTAATTGTACTCCCTTCTATCAACCTTCCCTAGTCATTTGTTCTTTTTGTTGTTCCATTTGTTAATTTGCTTGGTTCCTGAACCGAGACCACCCCAGAGACTAATTACAACTAAAAAAAACATGTATCCATACGAAAACCGCAGACTAATCAAAAATGCTCCTAGGTGGCCGCTATTTTGTGCTTTCAAATACACATGGTGAGAACAATGGGTGGCGGCCATCTTGTCTCCCAAACGCTGCCTGCAGGACTTGGTCGTCGAGTGCCTGGAACTGTTTTCAGCAACGCACTCGCACCGGTCTCTATGGAACTCTGCTACGTTCTCCTTCCAAGCATCTCAGACGAAAAGAGTTCGGGAGTTTCAAACTACGAAACAAAAGGAGCATTCTTCACGAACCAGATAGATTTCACCTATTGCGGTTTTCGTATAAAACCTCACGAACAGAGACCGGCTCTTGCTACATTTCCTCTGGAACGGTTTCCCGGCTTCAACCTCGTGGCAGACCGGTCAACTCTCTCTGTAGTTACTGAACGGATTTGGCTGAATTTTGAATATGTTGCTCCCACAGAGACAAGCTACCCAGGGATGTGATTTTGGGGTATTTCCCAAAATTTTGAAAAATTTAACTTTTTCTGACCATAAGATAATTGAGTTTAGTATGTTCTCTAAACTCAATTATCTTGCTGGCTCAGAGAAGGAGTTATGCACTGTATAAATTGAATGTCTGTTCTCATTAAACCAGTCTTGTGCCAGCATTAAGCTTTGGCTCATGTGTGGTTTATTATGCGACACCAGCGATATTGGAACCTGTGGATTATTGGCGTATTATGTTATGGGAAAAGGGTATGCAAGACGGTGATACCTACTCAGACCGTCACAACTGGTTGGCAGCAGCGGGATCATCTCTTTTTCCTGAATTAAGAATCCAAGGTGGGCACTGGTGTAAAGTGAATGGAAGGCTGGTACACACAGCTTAAGCGCAGCACGTTGAAGGAACTATTGGGAGTTCGTGGAGGTACTGCCAGCAACAAAGCCATGCGGGTCAAAATCAGTGAACTGATGGAGCTAGACCGAGAGAACTTGGCTGCGGCAACCCCGACTGTTCAGGAAAATGAAACAGAGATTAATAGGGAGATCAGGGAACAACTGGCAATGTTCGGGCCTAACTCCTCTCCCGAAATCATCATGCAGGTGATTAACAATGTGACTGAAAATGCGAACACCAGGGAACACCAGGGAATAGCAAGAACTACAACTATGTTTAGCTGAAAATCAACGAACGGCAGCAATATCGCCAAACAGAGTCATCCACACAGATGAATCGCGAAAGATTACCTTAAGCGCATTTAAAAGTTTTAACGAAACGGAAAGCGAAATTGATGGCTCTCTGGCAGATTTTGAACGCCAGTGTGCCCTAGACAAAGTGGCTGCAGATGAATGGGTCCCTATACTAGCAGGAAAGCTATCGAGCAAAGCAGCAGATGCCTTCAGGGCTGTTCCAAACCATGAAATCCACAGTTATGAGTGGGTAAAAGAGGCGCTCTTGGTCAGGTATGCAGTAACCCCTGAGGCGTACCGCAGAAAGTTTCAAGATTCCCGCAAAGTGGACAAAGATTCATACACGGAGTGGGTCTGCCGATTGCAGCTGTCAGCATTCAACTGCATTACAAGTTGCCAAGCGACCACTGTAGATGATATTCTGCAGCTCTTTCTATTAGAACAATTTTTTAATAACATACAAACGGACGTAAAGGAGTGGGTAAGTGACCGCAGACCCCTCTCTCTTCCTGAGGCAGCCAGACGTGATGCCCGCAAGGTGGACCGTCCTACACCCCGGGTCCATCCCCCCAGGACCGATCCACCAGCCCAGCCAGAAGTGGGGAGATACCAGACCCCAATCAGGCACACACCGACCAACCCTGGACGCTCGGTTAACAAGCTTTGCTGTTATTACTGCAAGCAACTGGGACATCTGCGTAATAATTTTCCCCTGGAAGCACCCAGATCCAACTGGACTCGGCCTGGGTTTTCCTGGGCCGCTGCACACTGCATAGACTACCCTGTGCCAACAGCTTGGGACGCCAGGGAATTGAGCCGTGAGGAGCCTCTGGGAACGCTTTATGAAGTAAACCTTGTCCAGTCAACCATCACTTACAACCGACAACATTATTGTCAGCTGGTGATGGTGAATGGGAAAACTGGCCGAGTCCTCAGGAAACCTGGCGCCACCATTACTTTGGTCCAGAGGCACTTGATTGACAACTCTGAACGTCCTGGGAAATCTGTTGCTACATACCGGATCCCTACTGCCCAGATCCACCTAGATTGGGGCGCTGGAGCAGGCAACGTTAATGTGGGGGTCAT